ACAGATCACTGATCGTTAGATAGCCTATCGAACATCGACAACGTCAAGGATAATCAACGGTGAATAGGCAACCGTAGGCCATAGTGTATTTCGTGTGTCAGCAGTCGCTCTATGTTTCTTCGGCCTAATCTCACCAGTATCCTTCCTCAATAACTATAGTGTTGTCTTATTCGGTCATAAACGTAGTGACAGGAACTGAATATCATGAAGAGCAATCCACTCTCCCTATTACCATGAAGTATGAATTTGTGGAGATAGAACTGACAAGCTTATTTTGTAAATAGTTTTTAATATTATTTGTATTTGTTTTGTCAATCTTTCACTGTCTGTATATTTTATCATTAAATAATTGTACCCGTTGTTTTAGTAGATGACCCTGAACACACTTTCCGTTGTGATACTGACATAACATGACATGCTCTTGCTGGCTAACAAATACACTACTACTCACACATTCCTCGTTCTATCTTCATTTTGTGATTGAGTTAACGGAAGTCTAAATCAAATACTATCTACGTTTATAGACTGTAATTGGAATATATCACATCCTACGTTGGATTATATCACTGGAGAGTTCGTCAACCAGATTGGAATTACCAAGCATTTATAATTGTACTTTCTTAGTACCAGACCAAAGCCGAACACGCATCAATTTGGTGAACTTAAGTGAAGTCCCAACTTTCTGTTGTATTTATAATACTTAACTTATATATATTAACATTTCTATTGATCTTTATTAACTTTGTTGATACTTTTTGCGTTTATATATCGTCCGGCCCATCACATATTCAACGTAATTTAAGAGGTTAAACCACCTCTGTTCAACTTTAGTAGAGCCTAGTCATCGGAACAGTGATCTTACATTACTGATTCACACAAATATAAGTGAAATTAATTAAAGTGAGGAAGAATAATGGATAAAATGCAAGACAGTGCAGATCTGTCAATGAATCAAAAGAGCGTTTTCCCATGAACGTGGATATTTTTTCAGAGTTTCAGGTGAATGTGAAGGATTGACAGAGGTCGAGTGACGACTTGTTTTGTCTAATATGTTCTTGTAACTAAATTATGCAGCGACCGCTAGACATTTTATTAAGGGAGCGGTTGATGACTGAGTTATAGGTGCACTTATTCCTACGTCAATGAAGCATGTTAAAGATGAATTTTAATGGTTGGACAGTCCTTCAAATTACGGCAGAGACATGAATTTCTTTCAGTTAGTAACGGTACCTCACTGAGAATAACTTCAAATTCAATTTCATGACATTCGATCTAACATGTGAGGATTTTGTCGTGAATCTTTTCGACTGGAGAATGGGTGTTTAATGGTATAGAGTGCAGTCATCATGATTGACACCCTATCAGCATCTTCAATTGTCACTTGCGTTATCGATCAGGCACGATCTTATTGATGAGAACCTCTGATTGTTCTTTATTTCCAGTAGACACTAAATAAGGGTTTTTGGGGGTTTGTGAAGGAAGATTAGCGAGCCAAAATTATGTTAGTAGAAATGGAATTTGATGTTGTAATGCATTTCATCCGTCCTTCCAGCTTTTGTTTCAGTGATATGGGTTAACTTCCAAAACACCGAAATTGAGTGTGAAAAACAGTTCTTGGACGGATCAACACTTAGGGGCTCTAGTTGAGAGTACGTAGTTCCTGAGATTCCATTCCAACTAACCACTGGAGTCATCGAGACCAAAACAAGGCTTCTACCCGGGCATACCAGATTTTTGAGTTGTTTACTCCGCATACTGAAAGTCTGAATTCCAAAATGGCAATCTCTAAAGTTATTGTGGCTTCAGATATTTGAGATAATTCAGAGGAAGGTTTTGAAAAATGACTCTCGAAGTCACTAAGATCATTAGGTGAATACATCATATGAAAAGGAATGGAGGAAAAATAAACGTGAGAGTGGTGGACAAAAATTTGAAAATTCCAAAAATTATGACAAAGTTATTATGAAATAAGTCTACGTTAACTACCCCTATAAGTGCAATAAACTTATAAAGCCTTTACACAAGTCAAAAGAAAATCTAAAGCCCGTGTAGAGTGGATGATCAATTAATAGTTGTGGGTTATTTATATGGACCTTGAGAGTCGTTGGACTACGAGTGAGGTACATGTTGAATGGAATTATAAGGTCCATCAACTTACAATTCTGTCATCTGGAAATTGCTAATTGAAGAACAAAGGTTATAAGTGGTGCGCTTCTTGAGTTGTCCGTTACACTAGCAGTTGTGACTACATGTAGTTAAACTTGTAAGTGTAATCATGCCGTTTCCAGACTGGTCATAAATTCCAGAGTTTGCTTTCACTGTATCATAGAAGCACCCTTCCCGTCAGTGCGTACAGATCCCACCACACATACACTCGATAGCGTGACCATTAAAGAACTCGATATCTTTGGTCTACTAAATAAGCTTGACATAGGTAAATCCACGGGGCCCGATGAATTGCATCCTAGGCTACTGAAGGAATTATCTAACTTCGTTGCGAACCCTTTAAGTATATGCTTTAACCTGTCCGTAACGCAGGGTCGTTTACCAAAAGACTGGAAAAACGCCACAGTAAGTCCTGTCTTCGAAACAGGTACGAAACACAAACCTGAGAACTACCGCCCCGTTAGCCTAACTAGTGTGGTTGTTGAAATCTTAGAAAAGATTATTTGGAAGGAGCTGTTTAAGTACCTCGATGAAAACCGGATCCTTTCGGAGAAGCAGCACGGTTTCAGAATAGGTTACTCTTGTCTCACTAACTTATTAGTGGCTCGTGAAAGTTGGTGCACTCCTAAGGACCAAAAGTTACCTGTAGACGTAGCCTTCATTGATTTCAGCAAAGCTTTTGGCAAAGTTCCGCACAACCGGCTGTTATATAAGTTAAGAAATGTCGGGATTGGAGGCAATCTATTAATGTGAATAAAAGACTTCTTAGTTGGGCGTCAACAAAGAGTACGGATGAACTCAAAGTTATCTAGCTGGGGAACTGTGCTTAGTGGAGTGCCCCAGGGTACAGTTTTGGGGCCAGTCCTATTCCTCTCGTATGTAAATGACCTTCCTTGTTTCCTATCATCATCGGTCTTGCTATATGCTGACGATGTCAAGATATGGAGAACGATACGAAGTAAGGGTGATAGCTTCGAACAGTGAGCTTCTGGAAAAGGTTCAGAGAAAAGCAACTAAACTGATTCACGGAATAACAAAGCTTCCGTACGATGCTCGACTGGCCAAGCTAAACCTTTTCCCGTTGTCCTATCGTAGAACTAGAGGCGACTTGATTACAGTTTTCAAATTGCTTAGTGATAAATTTGCACCTGATATGCCCTCATTTTTCTTGTCTCCCAAAACAGAGAATTTACGAGGACACTCCAAAAAAGTTCACAAGCCCAGAACAAATTACTTGTCAGCTGACTATCGACTTTCCCATCGAATCATCAACGAGTGGAATTCATTACCTCAGCACGTGGTTGAGGCTCTATTCGTCGACTCTTTCAAAAGAAAGTTGGATCAACTGAGAGACCAGCATTGTCAGGACTAACACAGGCCATCAAGCCTCCTGTCCTTCCCAAACTGAAACTGAATAAAAATCTCGTCGTCCTCGTAATATTTGGTGCATAGTTTTCTCTATACACGCGTATAGAGAGTTCTAGGGAAATATTGGGTAAAATCGAAACATTTTAGGGTTTTTGTGTCATTTCCCCAAGATTTTCTATAGCGGCCTTCTCAAAACGGATAAACCAGAGCTCCCAATTTTGGGGAAAATTTATCCCATTTGGGGAGGCTTTGGCGAAATGGCACAAAAACCCCGAAATTTCCCCAAAGTTGGGAGCTTGGGGGGTAAGATGTGGGTTCGGGATATTAGAATTCAGAAATACACTGACGGTTAGAACTTTTTAGAATTCGACACGGAACTTAAAAGAAGTATTGTGTTAATGTACGTATGTATGTTAATTTACGGGTCTACTAGAATATGCCAACTTATCAAGTCATATACGGAACTTAGGTTTTAGCGAGTGTTTAAAATCATGCTAAACAGCGAAAATTTAATTATATTAAGGGCTCTGAATCCGTTGTATAATCAAGTCCGTAGTTATAAACGGGTATTTCCCATTTTCGTGAGCTAGCAAGTCTAGTTTTCAAGACTGACTAGTTGCTCTGCTCAGCACTGATCGAGAATGTATACATACCATAACTACGCGTGTGGATCTGTTGCTTGAAGGCGATTCGGAATCGTTTGCAATGATGCAGGTCCATCCATTATTTCTCTTCCTTCAAATTCTAAGCTTCTGAAGTCCTTATAATTTTTTGTTTCACCAATTTGAAACTTTTTTCTTGGATTGTATTCTGGTTGCCTAACCCTTTCCTTCATCACTAATGATGCCCTAGTACGGCCGAGAGTGACGAAAGTCCTCTCTCCCTCTCGAAATGCTTTCACATGGCCACGCGTATACAGCCTCCGCCAGGGAAGTCCTTCTCACTGCCTTCTCGTGGCATTACTGTTGTTTACGAAAAAAAGAAGACGAAAAGCGGATGTCCGGCGCTTTAGCCGGATTCCAGACCAATGGTGCACATAAGCTCCAGTATCCTGAAGGAACAAATGGCGTATGAACCAATTGTTGGTCACCGGCCACCATGGGACTGCATCCCCTTACGATGCTCCACTGCCTTGTGGATCAGACCTTTAGGTCGAAGGCTCGAGGTGTGGCCCTCTAAGAAAACCACCTGCTTCGGTTTGGGCACCCGGGCAGTATTACAGCCCTCACACAAATCAAATGAGATTTGTTTGGCGCGTATGTATTTGGTGCCTCCTTGTACCAATATCTATGTGTTAAAATAAATAAATAATGATAATACTACCTATACTACTCTAGGATTTGTCCTAACAGTTTCATCTCTATGTACTAATGGGATGGTGTAACCTAAACTGTGTACATGGGTGCCAGATTGCACGTTACGTATGGCTGAGTGACTTTAATTTACTGTTCTTTCCAGGAGGTACCATGCAGACTGTATTCATGGTTGCTGAGAAACCATCACTAGCTGAATCAATAGCGAAATCCTTATCTAATAAGCGTAATTCAAGTCGACGTGGATTCAATGGAGCATGTTCTATTCATGAATGGACTGGTCAATTTATGAGTGAACAAGTTCGCTTTAAAATGACGTCAGTGTGTGGTCACGTAATGAATGTCGATTTCTTAAGTCGTTATAATAGTTGGGATAAAGTAGATCCTGTAAGTTGATTTTACTAGTCTCTCAAATTCAGGCTGAGCTGTTTGTTGCCCCGATTGAGAAAAAGGAAGCTAACCCCAAATTGAAAATGGTGGATTTTCTTCGCCACGAGGTTTTTTATATCTTTGACAGTACTATTGTTTAGGCGAAAAATGCTGGTATATTAATTCTTTGGCTGGATTGTGACAAAGAGGGTGAAAATATCTGTTTTGAAGTTATCAATTGTGTTCATTCAGTTATGGTACACCCCGTGAGTTGCTTATATATCATGTTTATTTACTTCTCAATGCGTTACTATTTTTTATTTGTTACCATTAAGAATTTTCATACATCCAGTTTCTTTCATAAACTTAAACAAAGGAAAAGCGACAACTTTTGATGAATACATTAAATTCACTGTAGTTCTTTGCTTTTATTTATTTATTTGAACACATAAATATTGGTACAAGAGAGCGCCAATATATATGCGCCACACAAAACAATGAGAATTCGAAGAGAAGTAGAAAAAAAAAACTAAGGAGCGCAAAAGAAAAAGAGAACAATGACGAAGAGATTGGAGTAAGGTAGTGTGGTAGTAACGACGGAACGACAAGGTACAATCGGAAGAAATCTTTCAGGTAAAGGAGACACAACCACTTTTTATGAAGAAAGTAAAAGAAGGTTACAGCAGGATCGCCACTGGCTTCTATTCTGAGCCATATCTGATAACGTCTCTAGCCACTGTGTAGCACCATCTCTCGGACCCCAGTCAGGGATTCGTGAAGGACCAACACAAGCCAGTCCTTTGCAGCTTTCTTTCATGCCACGACACCATGTCATGCACTGACCACCTCTCCGCTTCTTCCAACCAGTCCCAGAGTCGGCAAATAATGCACGACGTGGAATTCTCTGGGACGACATTCGGAGAACATGTCCAAGCCACCGAAGTCGATGTTTCAAGATGGTGACACCAATTGAATTATCATCTCTGTGCCCGAACACACGATGCCGAACCTCTGCATTACTGACATGGTGTTGCCACTGAATGTCAGCAATCCTTCGGAGACAGCGATGATCGAACACAGAGAGTCGTCTAACGTCCTCAACTCGGAGAGGCCAGGTTTCACAAGGATAGAGCAAAACTGCTCTCACCAACGCGTTGTAGATCCGGCCTTTTACAGCCAGACTAACATCACGAAGGCGCCAAAGGTGGCCCAGATTGGCATAAACCGCTCTGGCTTTCACTATTCGTGCATTGATCTCATCACTCACACCCCCTCCAGCACTTATGCAGCTACCCAGATACACGAACTTCTCAACTACATCTATCTGCTCACCATCCAGGGTGAGTACAGGATTAGAATCCTGCCAGTCTTGTAGAAGTACTTTGCACTTCGAAGGTGCGAAGCACATACCATACCTACGGACACTGATTGCCAACTGATTAAGTGCGGATTGCATGCCTTGGGCATTATCGCACAGTAAGACAATATCGTCCGCATACTCAAGGTCGAGAAGTCTTTCTCCAGGCAACAGATCCACACCACCATTACTTACATCCATCAGAGCTGTTTCCAGAATGTCATCGATGGCAAAGTTGAAGAGGAATGGTGAGATTGGGCAACCCTGCCTAACCCCACTGCTCGAATGGAACAATGGAGAGAGGTGGTTGTATGCCCTCACTCTGCCTGAGGTGTTTTTATACAGGGCTTTTAGGATGTTAATAAACTTCTCAGGCACACCCTTCTTCAATAGACAATCCCAGAGAACAGTCCTATCCAACGAATCGAAGGCAGCCCTGATGTCAAGAAACACTACGATTGTTGGCCTTTGAAAAGTATGGCGGTGTTCTAACATTTGGCGGAGGGTGAAGATATGATCAATACATCCCCGACCAGAACGAAACCCAGCCTGCTCCTCGCGAGTCAATCTTTCTCGGGTTTTGAACAACCTACGAAGAATGACGGAAGCCAATAGCTTGGACGCAATCGGAAGTAAACTTATCCCCCGATAGTTGTTACAAGAACGACGTGAACCCTTTTTAAAGATAGGGACAACTATCGACTCATTCCATGACGTTGGTACACTCTCTAGTTCCCAAACCTTTGTAAACAACGTCGTCAATTCCTTAGTCAAAAAGTCACCACCATCTTTAAAAAGAGCCGGAGGTAAGTCATCTGGGCCAGGTGATTTGTAACGCTTCAAGAGTTGGAGTTCCTTGTGGACTTCCTCCTCATTTGGTGGATCAGTCGTCACCGGCCATGGAGGGCAGGACAGTCTGACCGATGTTTCCGGAGCAACAGGCCAGTTGAACTGCCCTTCGAAAAATTCTGCCCATCGTCCAAGACGTCGATGGATGTTAGTGATTGGCATCCCATCATCCTCGCAGATTGTTTCACTCACACCAGACTTCTTGCTGCCAGTGGCTCGGATGAGCTGGAAGAGCTTCCGGTAGTTACCAGATGCAGCTGCTGCTTCCAGCTCATTAGCACTCATCGACCACCAGGCTTCTCGGTCCTTACGCAAGCTTTGCCCAATTACCTTACGTAACATCCTTCGTTTATGGTCAAACTCACGGTCACCCGGAGTAGACCGACGGGCTTCAATGAGTTGTAAGGAACCTGGAGAAACCCAGTGCTTATAAGCGGGACGTTTCGCAAACCCACAACTGACTGTTCCCGCCATTTTCATGGCGTCATGCAATTGCAACCAATGCTCATCTATACTTTTCGGTGGAGTGGTAGCTAGCCTAGAGGCTAGCTCGGTTCGATACTTACTTGCAACAGAAGTTGCAACCAGCTTGCTAACATCAATCTTTTGGTGGTGGTCACTTCGTTGGCCACTGAAAAGTAAGGCAAGATTGGCGCAGACCAAGGCATGGTCAGAGTCCAGATAGGTACTCCAAAAGGAGCGGCAGTCTTGTACACAACCACGCCAGCGGTAGCTGATCGCGATGTGATCAATCTGAGTCCAGGCTTGAGATGCAGAGGGAGGACGCCAGGTGGCACATCGGCGATGACTGTGCCGAAAGTTAGTGCTAGCCAGAAACAGGTTGTGGTCTGTGCAAAGTTTCAATAGACGGTCCCCGTTATCTGACCTGCGACCAACGAGTCCCCATCGGCCACCTAAACGACTCTCTTCTGTGCCTAGACGCCCGACCTGAGCATTCAAGTCTCCGGCTAGTACTACAATATCTGTCGAACGCACTTTCTGGAGAAGAACTGATAACTGGTGGTAAAACTCATCCTTGATTGCATCCGGGCTGCAATCTGTCGGGGCATAGGCGGAGATGACGAAAAGACATCGTTTCTCACGCCGATTTCTTCTCACTTTGATGGAACTTTCTAATCTAACAGCACATAACCGACTGTTAATGGGGATCCAATCGACTAGTGCTGCCTCAGCTCTAGCGCTTAGTGCGACACCAACGCCAGCAAGACCAGACGAAGATGCCACAGGGTCTCCGGATAAGCGCACGTAAAACAAGCTTTTCGAAGCGACAGATGGAGATCGAATTTGTAGTACTTCGCCAGAGTCTTGAATACGGGTCTCGGATAGACAGCAAACATCGATATTAAGACTTTCCAAAGACATAGCCAGCCCTATCTGTTGTCCGACCTGCATAAATATGCGACCGTTGAAGGCAGCCAGTTTGAATGGTGCACGTGGTTTCAGAAAAACTGCTTCAGTCCTCGTATTCGGTGGTAACATACAATTTTCAACTGGACAGTGACTCGAGGACGTTTAGATACAGTCGGATTACCACCAAAGACGAGCCGCTGTATAAGTATAAAAGAGGGTGAATAATGTGGAAAATAATAATAATAATGATAATAATAACAATAATGACAATAATAGTAGTAATAATAATATTAGTATTAATAATGACAATAATTGTAATGATAATAATCTGAATCAATTGTTTGTTTTTCAAAGCGAGAAATGTAATTTCCATAGGCATAAAGAGTTCATCAATTTGTGTGTGGGCTGTGATACTGCCCGGGTGCCCAAACCGAAGCAGGTGGTTATCTTAGGGGGCCACACCTCGAGCCTTTGACCTAAAGGTCTAACCCACAAGGCAGTGGAGCATCGTAAGGAGATGCAGTCCCATGGTGGCCGGTGACCAACGATTGGTTCATACGCCATTTGTTCCCGCAGGATACTGGAGCCCATGTGCACCATTGATTTGGAATCCGGCTAAAGCGCCGGACATTCGCTTTTCGTCCTCTCATTTTTGTAAACAACACCCGCGCCACGAGAAGGCAGTGAGTAGGACTTCCCTGGCAGAGGCTGTATACGCGTGGCCGTGTGAGAGTATTTCGAGAGGGAGAGCGGACTCTCCCCACTCTCGGCCGTACCAGGGCATTCAGGGGGGCTTTTCCTTCAGCTTCATATGAGTTAATGAGTTTAATTATTTCCAGTTATCAGCATTATATTAAAAGATGAATTGTCATTCAATAACGAGTACGTTATGTATAAGTTGAGAGTTAAAGTTTTAAGAGTTGATAGTTCTAGAACATTAATAACTTTTCACTTATTTTCGACTATGCAACTGTGTACAACTTTAAACGTTTAAGAATTATAATGACCAATTGAGGTGTGTCATCGAACACTAGTGCAGACCATAATTATTAAGTATCTCGAACACATTATTGTAATATTGTGACAGCGTTTTATTAACATTCCCGATCTTTTCTATTAACTGATTGACAGGTGTAATCTGTTTCTATTAAGTTATCACATTTGATGGTTTTCTTTCTTCGTTTATAAGTTTGCACTTCCGTCACCTTGTTCAAAAGTGCTTTAATGTTTGGAGATTAGCAGTTGCTTGGTGAATAGTCATAGTTTATTTCGGCTCACTACAACTATTGAAATATCAACTGGAGGCTCATTTGTCATTCAGTTTTCCACTTCATTAGCACCTGATTTACTGTATATGTTTCAAATTTACAACGTAGTAGTAGTAGCTTCTGCGTTCTGTTTTGCGTTTCCGCTTTTACTTAATTTTCATACCAGCGGTTATTATTGGAAAATATTAGTTCTCGTAAATGAAATGTCATGTAAGCGTCAGTTTCTAAAGAAACTTGATTCCAACCGCTCAATTATACTGAACATATTGGTTTCTTTTAATCCCATATTTTGAGAGCGCATTGTCCTTAATCCTAGCTTAAAGTGAAAATACTTATTCGTCTCATTTCATAAACTTTTTATTTTATGATTAGTCTGTCTAACCGTGATTTTACGTTTAGAAAAGAATTCTACGTGCACATTTCAGTGCTGTTACTGACCAAGAACTACATGGTGCTATGAAAAATCTTAGAGAACCTAATAAACACGAAGCATTGTCAGTAGATGCTAGGCAAGAACTTGATCTTCGAATCGGTTGTGCGTTCACTAGGTTCCAAACGAAATTTTTTCAGGTGAGTTTTCAGAATTGAAGCAATGTCTTCCCTTAATTATTAAAATAGTTTATAAAATCATAATTATGGTAACGTTTGTATTCCCTTTCCGAGGAGATTTTTTAGGTCATTTAGCTTTTTATCTAAATACGTATAACTGTTCATAAACGTGTCTCTAAACAGACTATTCTGATTGCGAATAATGTAGTAATAAGTATTTTAATTGAAATACAAGCCCGAATATTATAATTAGCGTCTATTTCCTCAAAACTTTAAGTATCACTACTACATCCATGGAAATGAATACATAATCCCTTGAGACTGCTTAATGATACCCTTATCGATACTCCGTTAGGCTAGAAAGTATATCTTAAATTCTGTAGCCCTTCATTTTTAAATTTTTTCGTGGGAAGACTGTGTGACTGGAGATACTAATTTCCTGTGAGAAACAGCTTATTGCCACTACTCCCTAGTGTAGTTTGTATTATGACTTCCCTATCGGATCTTTATCTTACTACTTTTGGTTTTAACGCTTTTAAAATGATCTGTTTGGCATGGTATGACCTTAAATGGTGATATCATGCCCTCATTTTTGCCATCTTTATCTTTCTTCCCACCGGCTGAATCAATTCATCTTCTTAAACAGATTGTTATAAGTAAATCGACTCCAACTTTCGTCGCAGCGAAATATCAAACTGAGCTAGATTCAAAGATAGCTATTATCCCACCAAAAATTACAGATGGAAACTGGCTGCGCTTGCATAAGGTCTTGGAAATGGCTGTTAAAGTCGCTTGTGGCGTCGCTAAACGTCCCACTTATGTAAGCTATGAGTTTCTACAGGGACCTTGTGAGTGAAACAATCGGAAAAATTGATGGGACGCTATTCAATAGCATCCAGGGGTTTTTCTATGTGCGGTTCAGTTGACCTGCTTCCCCAGCAACATAGACCAGACTGTCCTACACTCCCTAGCCGTTGACAACCTATCCACTTGACAAGGGGGTAGTTCTAACAGAACTCTATCTTTTAAAGCTGCACAAGTCACTTCGCCCGGGTAAATTGTCTCCTACTCTTTTTAAGGGTGACGTCAAACTTTGATCATTAGATTGAGTTGTTTGGTAAGGCTTTGTAAATAGAGTTCATTTCAGCACTTTGGAATGAGGTGATAGTCGTCAACATCTATAAAAAAAGTCTATGTCATCAGTGCAGTAACTTTCGGCAACAGATATAGTCTATCACGTTCGACTGATTGGCTCTCATCATACTTCACAGACTGTCCAAATCCCATAAAAGATTGACTGATGAAAAGCAGGCTGTTTTTTTTGTGTGATCGTGGATGCATCGACCTCATCTTCACCCTTCACAAATGTTAGAGCACCTTCATCCTTATTTCAGGTGAACAATCTTTATGCTTTTTGATATCAGGAATACCTTCAATTCGTTGGATAGGAATGTATTCTAATCTTGTCCATCAAGAAGGGGTGCTCCTGAGAAGTTTATTGACATCTTGTATGGTCTTTATACAAACATCTTAGGCAGAATGAATACATATAACCACCTCCCCCTTTGTTTCATTCCATAAGTGGAGTTTTGCGGAGTTGACTAGTTTCATCATTCCTCCCCAACTTTGCCATCAATGATATTCTAAAAACAACTTTGATGGAACTAGGAAGTTGATAATGATGGTCTGAATGTGTTACCTAGAAAAACACCTTTCGATCTTGAGTATTCGAATGATATTGTATTACTTTATGACGATATGTGCTATCCTTACTTCATCTTGTAATCAATATCAATTGGTATGCCATTTGCTTTGCACCTTCTAAGTGCAAAACACTTTCATAAGACTGGCAGAAGCCCTGTGCCTACAATCACTCCCGGCGATATTGCGTCATAATTAAGCTAAATGTTTGTGTACCTAGCTAGGCGTGTGAGTGCTGGTGATTGTATGAGTGGTAGTAAAAGCCAGAGTGGCTTATGGGAACCCAGGTTGTCTTTGATGCAGTCGCGTTTTTAGTCTGTCTGTAAAAGATCGTGTTTACAGCGATTCAGTGAGGGAGAGAGAATCTACTCTATGTTTGTGAAATCTGGCCTCTCTAAATTGAGAATGTTTGGCGTCGGTCTTCTTTTCCTCATAAGAATTGATGACGTTTTCCGACAACATTTGTTAGTATTCTTTAGGTTCGGCAAAGCCCTGGAGCACGGTGACAACCACTCAGTTGGCGTCATCACCTTGAAATGTCGATTTCAGTAGCTTAGTCACACGGCACGAATGTCATCCCAAAGACTTCCACATCATCCATTATTTGTCGACTCTGGAACTAGTTGGAAAAAGCGAGATGGTCAGTTTATGGCATGGTGCTGCGGTATGAAAGGAAGCTATGTCAGGTTGGCGTCTGTCTATCCATCGCAAATCCTGATTGGGGTCTGATAGGCAGTGCAACCTAGTGACTTAGAATATTATCAGTCAATGCCTGGGACAGAAGCCAAAGAATGACGATCCTGTTGTAATCCTCCTTTAAATTCGTAAAATAATGAAAAGAAATCACTTAAGTGGGAGGATTTTTTTGTTTGTATTGTTAGCTTAACTGTATTTTCTATCATATACTATTTTTGTTCAATTATTTTAACGATTTTTCTTCTCTCTCGTCACTGTTATTACCACGCTTTAAGTGGCGTATTTTATATTCGCTGCCCAATGTTGTTCTTAAATAAATGTAATTGATAAATAATAGTGTGTACTGTATGGCTAGACGAATCGTTGTAATTTGACTGCATCACAAGTTTACTAGGTAATTATCACTAATTCTGGCTTATTAGTCTCATTTATCGTGGTAGTGATAGAATGAAATTGAAGATTTTACGGTAAAATTTAGACCGTTATTGCTAGCATTTTATATTTGTTTGTTTTTCACTAAGTAAGTAGTTTTTGTTAACCATCTACTCATATATCTTGCTTTCATTTGTTTATTGGTTTTTGTATACATTCTCTTGGAATAAAAGTTTCATTCTGTTTAAGGGGAAGTATGGTGATCTAAACAGCAATCTTGTGTCGTTTGGACCTTGTCAAACACCTACACTTGGATTTTGCGTAAAACGACACGATCAAATCCAATCATTTAAACCAGAAACATTTTGGCGGATAACGGTAACTAAAAACGTTGTGTTCATAGTTTTAACCATGAATGTTTAGCCAACTTTTATAATGTGGCAGAAAATTTTAAATTCTGTCATATATTTTCTCTAGGACTAGTTGATAATCGGTCTCACTATTTATTCCGTTTCGAGACTTGGGTTTACTTACTTATTCTATATCTCTATCTGTATAACTTACAAACTATGTGCAGTAAATAAACAGTAATTCTATATTGCGTTCATTGGTGATTTGAACCTTTGTCTTCCTATTTACATTGTGTTAATATATCACTTATAGTTCCCTTTGTTTATATTTTGGATACTAATGTGTATTTTTCATTTGATTGCATAACTACTTGAGCTATTGACTTAGTGTTGGTCACATTACTTTAACATTAGAAAAATTGTATTTTCTTCGGCCACTTATCTGATCATTTAAATTTACATCTTCCACTGATTAAGAATAAGGTGAGATACATCCTATTAATAATAGTTTTACCAATTTATTTTCCGGGTATTGGGTCATGGATTCATTAAAAGTTTTGTAACTATCAAGGTTTGTGCTATTATGTCGCGTTATCAATACTGATATTAGATGAGTTTCAAAGGTGGTATTGTATGACTTCACATTAAGTCATGTTTATCACCTTTCTATAGATTGTCAGTTTATGCAAGTCATAGATATCAAATTTCAGTTTTGATTAAATGATTCGAACCTTTATTCTTGTTATCATTAGTAGTACACCTGTCATTAGGTTTATTTATATTATCTTTTTCGTTGTTATCATAGGCTCATAAACTGTCTTGATTAGTTTGATATTTTCATATGTCAGTCAGTCATACACTTCGTAGAACCTGGGACATGTGTACATTGGTTCAAGTTGCCATACCCCATTGGCATAGCTCGATAAAATTATCAGAACTAATCCCAGAATAGTAGAGATGGTAATAGTAATAATAGTAATAGAAAAGATTATTGATCCAAGTTACAAGTCGAGATAAAAATAAATTAGTGTAATAATAATAGAACCTACGAGGAATTCAGAAACTTGGGATCTAAGGGAAGATAAAAAGTGAATTTACCTGCTCCACTAATTACGCGAACCCCGAATATACATACAAATATTATTACACATTAAAGTAAGTCCTGATAACAATCTAATTTAAAACAATGTTGTTTGCTCATATATGTTGTACTAAATCAAGTATCTGAAGATTTATCCTGTCTTAATAAAATCATTTTTAGTTTCTCACCTCCGATTCATTTTTGTTAATAATAATAACGTGCTTTCTTTCGATCATAGGTCTCGGGTGTAGATGATACCGGGGGTGTATTAGAAATGTCATGGAATCGTGATCGTATCTTTGATAAAGAAGCTGCTTCAGTATTTTTAGGTCGAGTCAAGTCTTCCAAAACAGCAGAGTAAGTCAACGAAACCAAAACTTTTTGTTTGTAAGAAAATAGCTATGGTGTGAAAGATTCACAATGAAAGTAGTAAACTGATTTATATCAAAGATTATTATATGATGATTGGTTAGGTAACTTGGTTATTGCGTTGTTCCTTTTCTTCATAATCAGTAATAAAATAATTAATCAAGTGTATCAAGTACATGAATTCGACTGTAGTTGTCACTTCACGTTGTTACCAGTCTAATAACTATTTGAATATGTATGTTTCTTCAAAACTGTTTCTTTCTATTTAAAAACTGCACAGAAATATGCATTTATAATGCTTCTGTACGCTCGTTGCAATGGTAAAGGCTTATATGCTTAACGTGAATTTTGAGTATTCTGGAATGATTTTTGATCATGAACACATATGTATGAAAATGTCTGAAACAATAGAAAAACTTAAAATTATCTTGCTCCTAATCAATTTTTTTGTTTTATAATTAATTTCTGTGATTTTATAACTTTAAACAGAAAATGATAATAAACCATCAAATAGTTTTTTTAAGTCTTGATGCTTCAGTTTCATTATGAGAGTTATGATAAACGGGAAATATTCCTGACACAAAATTTCCATATATTATCACGTAGTTTTATGCCATATATATGCTCAAGTTCTTTCATAAAGCTATAGGCTCAGTACGTTTACGTAGTCGAAATTTTAAAGATCTAAAGATCAGTGATTTAAATTGATTTTTTTTGAAAGTTGGTATTGTGACCGAAAAATGGTTGTCTGTAAATTGCTTTGTTACGACTTTAAGAAAGTTGGTTTAGAACTCATTTCAGAAACGTTTGTTTGCGATTAAATGAATAAGCGTAAGGACGGCTTTTCATATGCAGAAAAGTATTTATTTCTCATTTTCTCATGAATCGAATTGTTTTAATGTATATTTTATTCAAATGATTGTACTTAAACGGTCATACGTCATGCATATGCGTTTATTTTACTGCCTTTTAAGATTTGTAAACTTAACTCTATTTTAGAGTCGTCCAGGTATCTGTCAAACAGAAAATTAAACCACGTCCACAAGGTTTGAATACAGTAGAAATGTTACGAGTTGCCAGTGCTGGTTTAGGTATTGGACCACATAGTGCAATGGCTATTGCGGAACGATTGTATACATCTGGTTACATAAACTATCCACGTACTGAGACAACAGCTTATCCAAACACATTTGATTTACGTGGATTACTACAGCAGCAGGTATGATACGTTTTGTTAGTATTCTTCAAAAAAGCCACCAAGATAGTTTTCTTACGTTTATTATTCTTGGAAATATGTTATCTAAAATTGAGTATATATGCAAACAATCATTTGAGACATTTTAGATTTTAAAGAATTGGAATTGTGAATAAATTCAAGTTCGATGTGAACCTCAACGTGATTCGGAGCAGTAGCTTCAGTGACTAACTCTTTTACTTTACTATATTTGATCAACTAACCAATTATTATAGTTTTAAGATTGAGTTTTCACTTGATGTTTTTTGGGTGTTTATTGTAACAATATTCCAGCCTGTCTCAAATTCAACGTCTATCATTAAAGTATTCTTCATTGTCACAAACTGATCATGTAAGATTAATATAGTAATCATAATTATTTTACACCCTAGTCCAATTAATGTAACCTAGTTACTAGGTGAAAACTTCCGAACTCAGTATTACATTACATTTTGTTCTTGTTTGATGGCTGCCAAAACTAAAGTAGGTGAAGTGAGACTCATCTATACTTATTTGCAGGAAACTGGGAAATTTTCCAAAAAGGAGATTATAATTGTCTGTTACAGTACTTTCCTACTTTCCTTGAAATTTTAGATTCTCACATGAGATGACATTAGTACAGTACAAAGTTCATAGGTTTTACTGTATTTAGATTGATAGAAATCTTGAACGTTGTCGGTCATAGTTATTATCCATCATTCTCACTTCAACCAGATAATAAGTTTAAGCAATCGCAACCATTCAGACGAATAAATCATTTGAATCACGAACTGAATTTCAACCACACAAATATTAAAGATCAGAGAACATTGGAACACAGTCGTTATTCCACGCTGTTGAGTTCCACAATTCTAAGTAAACAGTTCTCCATTCCTCCCTCATTTCCTGTGTTTGTCCAGTTAAAACCCGATTTATAGGATATTTATCTGCACGCTGAACGATCTTCCTAATGCTTCCATCCTAAGAAATACATAAGTTTAGTTATAATTAATGAGTTTTATTTTGCATGTAATTTCATGCTAAAATTTTAATTCACCACCTCTGTTTTTCTCTACATCGATTTAATCATTTTAGGTGAATAATCCAGTTTGGGGAGATCTAGCTCGTGAAATTCTAAAAAGTGGGTTAACTCCACCTCGTGCTGGTCATGATGCAGGTGACCATCCTCCTATTGCTCCTATGCGTTTTGCGTCCTCCCAAGAACTGGGACATGAAGCCTATCGATTGTATGAGTACATTACACAACATTTTATCGCTACTGTAAGTGATTTTGTATTTTAAAAAAATTTCAAATGCTCATTTATCAATGTAGATGTATGTTTTTAGAATACCAAGAAGACATATTGCGTCCGAAGTCGAAAGTGACATTTTTTAATTCTTCATTGATATCAGTCCATGGTGAAAAATTTCTTCGAACTAAGCTATTCAGTCAGTTACTGAAATTTATTAGAACTGAATTACTTAGTAACTGTTACATACTGTACATTAGTTTTTTTTCATTAGCGTTGAAAGCTTTATACTAAACATCGTAGGTGCATTTCACATAACTTGGTTGGCAAATTTTGATCGGTTTTGAAAAAGTAAATTGTGTAATTAATTACTTCCATGTAGTCTAAGATGTTTTTACTGTAAGTTATTGTGAATTATGTGGGCGCTTTTAGAACGAAAATGGAGGATTCAAATTTCCACAATTAAATTACAAAAATAAGTTCACCAAATGATTTCTGGATATCTAGCATCACCAACACGATGATACTTTTTTCCCTATTTACCTTGAAGATTATGCCCGATTGTTGTTATGAACAAACACAAGTGACCGTATCCGTTGGTGATGGTGAATTGTTTACAATTAGTGGATTAAAAGTAGTTGACCCTGGTTTTACACGAATATTAACTTGGCAAGCAATAGAAGATAAATCGTTGCCTATAACACTTCTTAATCAAGGCTATCAATTCAATTTACTTGAAGAACCAAGTTTAGTTGAAGGACAAACTGGTCCACCAGACTATTTAACTGAGGCTGAATTAATTACCGCTATGGAACGTCATGGGATTGGAACTGATGCATCAATCCCAACACATATAGAAAATATCGTTCAAAGAGGTTACGTTCAAGTAAATTCTCTATCATAATGATATTATTATGTATTTGTTTCTTCGTATTTATGTCCGTATTATTTTTGTATCCCTAAATAGAGATAATTCAACTCAGCAAATGTCAACACTTATAACAATAACCAAACTGTTTATTTATTTATATAGAGGCAAATTAATTGCGAGGTAGATTAGGTAACTAACCAATGTAAGGATTAAAATTAATAATTAATTAATATAGACAATTCGAGACTTAGGGTAGATGTGTATCAGTTCAGGGTACTACATTTTCTCACCAATACCGTGAGAGAGGAGATCAATAATATGAAATGAACTTAGCAATAAGACTAAGAGGCTAATAAATACGCAAGGTAATTGAGTCACTGTTAACATTTTAGGACCATATTGCTCATTACCTCTGACTACCCTTCAGTCAGTCATAGTCTGTATGTGGTATATGCTACTTATGTTGACAGATATAAGTAGTATGTAACACCAATTGAAAGTGGAAAACCTGGCAGCAGAAGGCTATGAAGGTCAACTTGAAGAAAACAGAAACGAAAATAAAAATGTAATTGTGGACCAGAAAAATCATACTGAATGTGAAGGTTAGGTGATGAAATTTTGCAAATGAATTATTCAATGTATGCTCCTTATATTTTACCAAGATATTCTGTAATTTTGTATCAAACAATAAATTGGTGTTTTCCACCTGAGTTCTTGTTCCCTGTGTTTACAGAAGCTGGCAGGAGTGTATCGCTGTTCAAATTGTTACACTAATATATAGATGGCAATTGTTCATCACTATATATATCTTGATATTGTTCAACATGAAATTATCTTGGCTTATATAGCACATAGCTACTGGGGTCTAACCCTAGATTCCCTACAACCATCATGTATATATTTAGCTGAATACTAGGATTAACTTCAGGCTTTCATGTAAAAAACTTAAGTCACTTACTTCGCTTATAAATCAGCATTATCTTATTCCACTAAGATTATCCATGTTGATTCGTACTGTTTTTATGTGAAAATTTAATCAAGTAGACATCTGCTTAATTATTTAAATAATTATAAGTCAATTATATATTTATTTATTCACTTAAACAAATGGAAATGAAATGGAGAATAAATCTTTAACTTACTAATTTTCTGTTTATTGATTAGACGTTCAACGTTAGCAAATAAAATACAACAAATTACTAACTAAATCTTTTTAGTGTAAATTTTCTGAGTTTGCATTTCATTCTGATTTGATAGTAATGATAATGTTTTAATGTCTAATAATATAGAACCTATATTGACTGAAAAATACGGGATTATCATGAAATAGCAGAGACTATGATTTTAAGTTATCCTCTACATCCAATTCATAATTGAGAGCTTATTCACTTTGAAACAAGTGTTCAATGCTAAGCTGTCTAGTTTTAATAGAAGGCCTTATACTCTCATGAAAAAACATGCTTTATTAATTTACTTTCTCAATTATTAACCATATAAAAGCACTTAATTTTACTGTAGACTACTTTTAAACATTAAATACACTAACAATCGTATTAGTTTCAATGTTTTATACTTTTCACTTTATGGTATTCATTAACTTGGAATGTGTTACTTACTTAGTTACGAGAAATCAATGTAGAAATTATTTTTTGTTATTTTTTGAAGATTTTTCATTGTTTTTTATTTTCTCGAGGTATAACTTTTTTACTTTCGAAATTATTGTTTTCTCGTTCATTCTGTTCCTATCTATATATTTGTGTGTGTGTGTTCTTTCTTAATCAAACACAGCTTCTTTCGGGGCGAAAACTACAACCTACACCATTAGGGATTGTACTTGTTCATGGTTATCAAACAATCGATGCCGAACTTGTCCTACCACATATGCGTAGAGCTGTTGAAGAACAATTAAATCATATTGCTCGTGGTCATGCTAAATATGATTTAGTATTACAATTTGTTTTAGCTATTTTTGCCGCAAAATATCGTTATTTTGTTGAACATATCAATGGTATGGATCAATTGTTTGAAGTTTCATTCACTACTCTAGCTAGTTCAGGTAAACCTTTATCCAGGTAAGTGGACAACAATTCGCTTGATTTTTTTAAAATTTAGTAGTTTTGACTTTATTTGCAAGATGGACTTTTCTAAAACATTAACAGATGAGAAAACTTTATCGAAACAAAAACTATATGATAGTACTTGTTTATGATACATCAAGATACATGAAACAAAGTCACTATTATCACTGATCGTTGTTATGATCCCAGGGTTTAAAGATTAAAGGTATTATATACGAGTGCCACTAAAATAATATAGGCATTCAATAAATTATGTTTTATATAGTCGTTTTTTGTTTATTCTCATTTCTGATTTTTTTATTCATTAGTAAGGTTGTTATTTGCAAGCGTATGGCTGAATTCGTGTTTAACATACATACTGTAACTTTCGACTAATTCTAGTAACTATTAAATCTAGACGTTTGCAATTCATTTTATGGAACCCAGAAGAATTTGTTAAGTTGATATATGAACCTTTATTAGGACGTAGTTACATAGTCTAATTATAGGTTATAAAATTGACAATAAGAAAAATCAACTACGGTTCACTAAAGACATTGTATATTAAACATGTACAATTTTGTTTGAATTTGGTTAACTATAGACAAATATTTGAAGGTGTGGCTCATTAATTTCTATACTTGACCTTCAGCTCCATTGCACTTGTCGAACCTGAGCCGACTAACTGGAATCATTACCTGTAACATAGTTGGTGGATCTTAGATTTTAATATACACATGTATACATGACTGTTGGAAATTAAATGGAATATAGATTTCTTACTAAAGTTAGTTCCTACCAAAAAAAAACATAAAATCAATCTTGATGTATAGTATCACTCGGTGTGAATGATTGTGTCTGGATTCTTCAACAAAACCTTAAATGCTATTGCTCTTGTGTGCATAATGTGCACGTTGTTTATCAAAGAAATTAGGTTGTTTACATGAAATGTTAAATACATTGGTCACTAATCATTTCAAAGTAAATAATTGAAAATCTTAAGTTATACCCTAATTGGAATATGAATCAGATAAACGTTAGATCCTTGAAAGAGATTTGAATCTGTCAAGAATTTTATGTGTTGAAAATCTTTATTTTTAATGGTAATATAATTATTTTAACCGGAGATATTTCTCGTTCACCAAATCAATTCAACTTCAGGTAGTCACTTACTAACTAGGCAAATATATGAATCCCTATACAAACGTCTATAACTATTGTGAATTAACTTTATGAGAATTGAAATTCAGGAATTTTTTATTTCAGATAACTCCAGACAGTGTACGTTTTCATTCATTCAACTGTTTGATAACTTGATTTTCCTTTTTCTGTGTTATTACTATGCATTTTCATACTTTAGATGTGGAAAATGTCATCGATACTTAAAGTTTATAGATTCTCGACCACAACGACTTCATTGTTCAATTTGTAATGAAACATATACATTACCACAGAATGGTACAATTCGACCCTATAAAACCGAAAAGTGTCCTTTAGATAAATTTGAACTACTATGCTATACTCAAGGCGGTAAAGGAAGAGTAGGTTTCTTTTTTATTATTTACTGTATTAATTTATAATTCCGGTTATTCTATAATAATTGAAAATACATTGACCTGGTGGTTACCATTACTTATCAAGATGATCCAGCCAAGCTATACTGGCTCCAACATTCGTTTCTTTAAGTGTTATCATTCTATACAGGTCAGCTGAAGAAGCAACATCTTCAGTGATACTGCCTCTCAAAAATGGAAGTAGGGAGGCCCTATATTGAAACAGAATATAAACTATAGAGAACTGAATTCTTGTTTTGGAACACCGACTGGACACCATGACCTCTAGGTCTCATAATGAACTGTTCACAACCATGAGATCAGTAGGTGATCTTCTTCAGTGTTAATTTCGTGTTATATTTTCTTAGTCAGTCAGTCAGCTACAACGTAGGACCAGGCACATATATGCATCGGTTCAAGTTGCCATACCTCATTAACACAACAAGATGAACACCGGATTCATAGAAGTAGTTAAGTCAATGGTGGTGATATATAAAAGAAAGATTGCAATAAGGATATAGTACAAGAAGAAAGAATTGGTTCGTAGAAAGAGAGATATGAAGCGATTTTAACCTCTTAGTTTAAGAGAAGACAGAGAGTGTATACACCTACGCCATTGTGATCGATTCTGAGCCATGTCACCAAGAGTCTCCAACCATTGGTTACGATAGTCACGCGGACCCCAACCAAGTAGTCTGCATCTACCAACATGGCTCAGACTAGAAGTTAGTGACTTCAAACACTGATGCCACGTTTTGGTTTGGCCGCCCCTATATTTCTTCCAACCATCCTGAACACCGGTTAGCATTGCATGTCGTGATAATCAGTGCTCAGGCATACGCAACACGTGGCTCAACCATCTCAGTCGATAACGATTTACAACCTCATCAACTGATTTACCATCATCTCCTAATACCCTGCGTCTAACCTCACTATTACTTACTTGGTGATCCCAGCAGATGTCAGCAATATTTCTAAGACATCTGTGGTCAAATACTAGTAGCTTACGATTATCTTTAGCTTTTAATGGCCATGTTTCTCAGCCGTAAAGTAGGACAGAACGAACTGCCGCGCAGTATACTCGTCCCTTAATTGATAGATGGATATCTCGCCTTCGCCAAAGGTGACGTAAGTTGGCAAAAGCCAATCGAGCTTTCTGAATCCGTGTTGAGATTTCGTCAGACACCAACCCATTAGGGCTGATCAGACTTCCAAGATAAGTGAAGTTGTCAACGCGTTCGACTACTTCACTCCCTATCCTTAGTTCAGGTGTTGACGCAGACCAGTCCTGAAGCAACAACTTGCATTTAGAGGGAGAGAAGCGCATTCCAAACATTCTGGCATTGTTGCTTAGTGCTACCAAAAGACTGCATTTTGTCCGCGTCTTCACCAAACAGGACTATGTCATCCGCGTATTCTAAGTCGATAAGTGGACCTCCTGGTAGGAAATCAATAATCGAGAATTCAGTAGACGAGAATGTTATTTCCATCAGTAGGTCTATGATGAAGTTAAACAGAAATGGAGAAAGTGGACAGCCTTGACGGACACCACTTGAGGTTGCAAAAGTAGATGACAGATCGCCATAAGCTCTGACTCGACTGGTAGTGTTCGAGTAGAGAGCCTTCTCAAGGTTTATGTACTTCTGAGGTACGCTTTTCAATGACAGACACTGCCACAGAATCTCGCGATCTACAGAGTCAAATGCTGCTTTTAAGTCGAGAAAGACCACCATTGTCGGACGCCGATAAGTATGCCTGTGTTCTAGAACCCGACGAATGGTGAATATGTGGTCGATGCAGCCACGACCAGGTCCGAAGCCAGCTTGAGTCTCTCGTGTTTGCAGTTCACGAGTCTTAGTTAGGCGTCTGATAATTATTGACGCTAGTATTTTATGTATATCTTAAGTTGTCGGTAGTGCACATTGTAATATGCCGTGAAAATTTAATTTTTTACTGTTAGAATGTTTGTTATGTACATTATATACATCTTTTATATATGCATATACCAATGATTATATCGTTTTGATATTGTGGGTTATCAATCAATAAACATAGTTTAATCTGTTGAGGGAATTTTTATGCCATATAAATGAAAATTAGTTGCGTAAGGTGAAATTCTTAATCGAATTTTTCCACAAACACTTTATGTAAAAGCCTTTAGGAGTTTGGAAATTTATTTCATGTCTAACCTTATTATGGCATTCTATTGTTTCCTTAATCTCTGTACAGGGGATATGAGGTACGTTTTCGACTTTAGATAATTTGTACACTGTAATTAGTGTTCAGGTCCTGAGAAGATGAAGATTTGTAACTTCAATGAATAGTTTTGGTTGTGTTGTCTACTTTGAGAAGTTTGTTTAAAGTAGGTCGTAATGATACTTATAAAAACAATGAAAGTTTCGCAATTATACCATACAGGTCGGAGAACACGGCACCATTAAAAGTTCTCACAATGATGATGAAGCTTTCGACTGGGTTTTCTGTCCCGGATAGTTTGGTTTGGAAACTTTCATTTACTTTTTGAATAACACCAGTACAAACTGCATACAGAAATAAACTATTCGAATTTCTAGATATATAACTAATAAATTGTTCTGTCAACATCGATCGTGATTGGTTGTTGTTTATCTTTTTCTTTATATGTATCTCGATTATCATCCCTTTTGATTTTAAAGTTGCTCATAATTTTTACGATTGGTTGACAAAATGGATTGATTTTTTCATGTTAGTTGATTGCTTGTTGAACTGAGTGCCAAGCTTCTAAAAATTCTTTTATCTTCTCAGTATTCTCTCTGTCCGAGATTTCAACATTTTCCCAGTTGAACGTGTCCATAATTGTCTACCTGCATTAAAGCTAGTTGACGTTCATGCCGATGTATATAAAGAGAGTGGCCACTTTCTTCGATATATTGTTTCTCGCAATTGAAGCATTGTATTTTTTAGGTGCTATTTCATATTTTAGTTTGAATAAGATTGATTGCAGTGATTTTCGTTGTTTATGCACTACGCCTATTTCAAACAGTATCAATAATCTTTGCTGTAGTTCCTGATGTATCCTTCATATATAATATGAATATAGGTGACTTTCTAGACATTGAGATCCACCTGTTTTATGGTCCAATTGTGTGTATTCATACATAAATCAGGGATTCACATTTCAAAATTGTTACTCCCATTTAGTTATATCAAATAACGATAATGTTTGTATTTCCTAATTTTTATCCATATAACTTTTTATGCCAACAGTTTAGCTTATATTCTATTCCACTGTTAATACAGTTAATCTTTGAAAAAAAAGAGATAATAACCAGACAAAGAGGGAATAACATGGAGTTTATATTGCCATAGAAGCGAATATAGTGGAATTAGTATATTTTATTAAATCTAGATTTTTGTTTCAATAACTAGAATTTTAATTTGTGATCTCTTATGAAGTTCTCTTTCTGTTCTATTATTTGTTTATTAATACATAGATTGAAAATAATTTGTGTAACATCTAGTCTAACAAAAAATAATTTATTTCGTTTATTTATTTACATAGAATATGGTTTTTTGTCCATATTGTTTTTCTCATCCACCATTTGAATCAATGCCAAAATTATCCGGTTGTAATAGATGCCCTCATCCAACATGTCCACAATCAATGGAATCATTAGGAGTTGATGCATGTCCTGATTGTCCATATGGTATACTAGTTTTAGATGATTCTAATGCACCAAAATATCGTTTCAATTGTAATAGGTTAGTTTATTATTATTACGTAATTCTTTTTTTTTTAAAAAGAATCATAATCTCACCTAAGTAACACAAATTTCATTCTTATCAAGTTGGGATTTATCTTGATGATTATTTCATTATTCATAGTTTTGAATCATTCACTACATGATGAAGTTTCACTGCATAACTTTCAGAAAACATATGATAGTTCATAAATTATGGAAATAGTTATTCTTATTCTACAAGTATATAATATATCTATATATTAAAAATTTTATTTGTCTATTTTTTAAATACTCTTTTTCATTGGGAAAAAGACAAGATGATCGTTTCTAACGTGTATATACTTGTATATGATTTTTAACAACTATTCATTTCATGTTGGTTTATGATATTTTTCATTGTCTTACAAATTAATACTATCAGAATATACATCAATTTTATGCAAAATTCCGATGAACTCTTATTTAGATTTAACCGAAAACTGATTCTCATATTATAATATCAAATAGATAGGCTTTTAAAGTTATATTAAGAAATTGAATTGCTTAGTTAAATTCATTTGTTTTCTTATTCTTACCTATTCCTATTAGTCATTAAAATAATAGAATTTTATGTCTTTGAAATAGTATTACGAATTAGTAGTAATGATACAAATAAAGCGGCAACATGTTAACGAGACAAACTAATGAAAAATGAAGTAAAAATTTGAAGTCAGCAGTATAGTGTTATTTTATGGTATAAAATCACAAAGTGAAACGTTTTAAGTATACCATAATTGAAATATTTATTTGTACACAGGGTTAAAACTTCATAAATAACAATCATGTCATTCATCATCATATAAAATACTTTGGATGACTAGGTCGACGATTATTTGATTGTTCAGCATGTTTTTTTTTTTGTAAATAGAATGTAGAGTAGATTCTGTTAAATTTGAATGCAATTTAAACGTTACCCTTACATTATTATGTCTATATGGGTTCAGTAATCCTCAAAGTGGATAGTCAAAACTTAACGGTTTGATTTGGTTTACTTTTAAGGATGTAGTACGTGTCAATTTTATTTTAATGATAATTAGTTAATAGATGATAAATCTAAAATTTTTAAAATAAACAACCACAGATGGCCATAGTTGATTACATAAACCTTAGACACATTCTACCATTCAAATGAAATTAAATAACTAGATTTCGACACTTGGTCTTGGAATAATATCGTTCTTATGGATGAGTTCTTTCTAGTTTCAATGAATAACCTGATCTGTCGACTCCTATAATATATTTCTACTATCCTCAAAATTGTTAAACTCGCTGCAATATTTGATTGCAAATTGTTCTAGAAGTCATACAATTGATTGAGCCAATCCATTGAAGAAATATGCTTCTATGTTGATGAACTTCGAATGTATGTTTTTGATTGAATTGATAACTGAACAGTTTTCTGTCGTAGACTTTTTTGTTAATTCCAGTGTATTCATAAATCAATAGAAGTAATAAATAAGCTTAGTAATAGTACACAACATCCAAATGTATTATTCGAAGTATTTGAAATCATTCAACTAAAACCGTGGATACAATTGTTGTGGATATCGGTTACGGATATTTACATGTTCCTGCATTAATTCAAGTTTTTGTTTCTTAAAGCTGCAGTTATAGACATATTTTTTTAACTACGTCACTTTTGATTGTGTGGATTTTACAGGAGTTACTTTTAGATGTTGTGTACGTAAGTTTAAGAAGTAATTTCAGTGTTTTTTGATGAATGCTTTTTCCCCATTTTCCACTAAAAACTTTTATTGTTTCGACTTATTGTATGCGCACTGTTTTTGTTCTACTATAGATGTCCAACATTCCTGTCTATTTCTGACGCTGTAAAAAGTATGTCTGTCAAAAATGTTAGTTGTTCAGTATGTACAGCTATGCATCTTAACTTGAGATTTGATCCGGTATGTACAAACTGTATTTTTAGAAAAAAATATTTTATCTGGTTTTACTCATTTGTTTAACATAAACAAAACTCGATCATTTTAAATCTCCCTTAATTTAGATATAATTTGTTGACTAGTCTGTCTATGCCTTTTTGTGTAGTATGTTTAAAAAGTACATTAATTCATCAGCAACGTTTGTTGAGTCCATTTGTTTATACTAATAATTGGCTTCGATATTAGAAGAAATGTAAGATATACGCTCAAAAAAAAATTGTTCAAAATATGAAACAAATTGTAAGTATCGTCACAAGTTTAGCCGTGGTTGATCATAGCTGTTAGGCCTACTCATCTGTGAAGTTGCACTAGTTTTGCTGATAATAATTACTACAAAGATATTCTTAAGTGAGAACTTCTCGTATGATTACTATTGGTCTATGGTATTATTGTAGTTATAAATTATCAGGTTTCCGTATTGCATTTAACGTGCGATTCGCAATTTAATAATAGTTAGTTTTTTTCTACCATTTGAGAAAGAGCAACTAGACGAAAGTTCAACAAATAATCATGGACGGTTTTTTTTAAATTTAAAATACATATCCGCTCTAGTTGGTAAGATGATATCAACGGGCATATATATATATATATATATATATATATATATACTTTGGTACCGATTACCCTTCTTTTGCTTATTGTAAAAATCTCACAGTTACTGTTACTGTCTGAACGATAGTTGAAATAAGTGTGTATTTCAGTCAACTGAAATTGGACTAAGCTGAGTAAGATACTTGTGTGATAAATTTCATTAAATAAGAAAAATATCGCTGGTATTTTACTAGGCCTATGTATGCTGAGCCTGAATAGATAATTGCATAGGTACTAAATTTCATCATGTAATAAATTGAACTGATAATATGATTGTCATCATTTCAAATACTCCTATTTTTTTTACAGGGTAAAGTCCCTAATTCAAGCGAAGATAATTCTGAAAAAATTAGCACTACATTCTCTGGATGTGCATTCTGTACAGAATCATTATGTTCATTATTCACTATTGTAAGAAAAAAGGAAGCACCGAATAATCCTACTGTCAATTTACGTGGTTCACGCCATCATTCTGGAACCCATCAACGAGGTGGTCGACGAGGGCGGAGTTTTCGATAAAATTTACAGACTATGAACTATATTGATGTCTGCTAACTGATACTTATGAACGTAATTCGTGTGCATTAATAGTTGTGATCATATTACACTGTACATAGTTATCGTCTTTGTTAATATAAATATATACATATACTAAAGCAGTTAATAATTTTAATATTGTAAAAAGAACAGATGTAAATAAGCTGTCAAGATACATTCAGAAGCTGATATAAATAAACAAGCTAAATAGTCTATACCTACACCTACAAGGTTCATTTAAATTCCGAATAACTTCTCAAACATAATTTATTAACCACATAAATGAATTATTTTTTATACTAGTTTTATTTTTAAAATACACAACTGGGAACCTTAATATGAGGAAATGAGTTTTTAGTGACAAAACCTTATTTCCATAATTGTTAATTGATTATTTTTTTCATTTGTACTTCGGGTTATATATTTATAATCCCTGGTTTTCAGCATACCACTTTTAACCAAAAACATCTTGATGTTATACATCACAAAGACTATTCCGCTAAATTATTGTTATTAAAAGCATAAAATTTGTACTGTCAATTTGTAGATTACTTGATTGATCCACATTAAATTGCGCAGTTACCAAACATTTACGTGGTATTTTAATAAAAGCTCAACATTTTGCAAGTAAATTTCAAAATTTTTAAGGTTATTAAGATGTACACTACTACATGTTTTGTACGATAGAGTATTAAAAATGGTTATAAGCTTTTCAAAAATACACCTTTCCACAAAATAATTCAGTAGATCTGCATCTAATGATTTCAAGTAAGGAACCTTTTTCTGCAGTAGATAAGACTGAATCGACAGATATCTAAATAAGTGGCTGATGTTGGACGACGTTTATGTGTTTTAAGCACTTGAAGTTTAATCGATGGGTCGCAAGTTAGAACCATTTTAAACTTTGACTTAGAACATACAGGTGATATCACCAGCTCCCACAAACTCAGAGGGACTCGGTAAACATGTTACAATTATTTTATTTAAATGACCGATTATGAATTTATAATCAAACCAAAACATTCACCCACTCATTAATAACTTTCTTTTGGATTTGGGGTAGTGTTTGTAATACAATGACACTCACCATTCAGATCAATATTGTGAAACGGTTATGATATGTCAATACTATATTCTCATTTTATCCAAGCAATAGACTGTCCTTAACATTTTGTTATCTGATTATGACAATACATTTACTTTGATACTACTTCGGCATAAATGCAACTCACCCAGTCTTTTGTTAATTTGGCCCATTAATAGATTTATCCATTCAATAGAGTGTTTAATTTGAAGAAATGACAAACTGTATAAATATATTATTCAACGCATAAAACAATGTTTAAAAAAAAAGAAAGTGAAAATATAAGTTAACCATTACGATCAAAATTAGCTCAAACTAGAAAGGAGAAAAAATCAGTTTCATAATATTGGGAAATAAAAATGAATATAGTGACTTAGTTTAACTCATACAATAAAAAAATTACAGATCACTGGTGGGATGAATTAATGTATATGTAATCGTAAATGAAATAAAAATATAAGACAAACTGACCGCTTAAGTCTCTTTGGAAAAAGATGGCTAATTATGACATAGTTAATATTATCCATGGATGATGTTATAAAAAAAAAAGAAATCTTTTGTGAATGCTGATGGGTAGACGTCACCGTGTATTGTTCTCTAACAATGGATGGGGAGTATATATGTATTTTAAAAAGTTATGTAATGAATGAATCAAATGTAAACAAAAAAAACCGAGCAATATTCAATGATAATCAAATGAAAAGCAGAAAATAATTTTGCATAATGCTGATTTGGTATGATAATGGTGATGAATAAATTCCTGTAACATAAAGAAAAATTCTAATTAAATATCGTAGTAGTTATATCGAATAAGTAGAGGAAGATGTATCTATTATTTATAAAAAGTGTATTCTTTCAATCTAAGAAATGAATCTTTAGGGTTTTATCAATATACTGAGTTGTACTGAAAAACTTTCAAGTTTTTAAATATAAGTATTCTATAAATGTATGAAAATATATATACATATCCATGTACATACACTTTTGATTGGTAATAAAGATATAGAATAAAATGAGGAAAAACTGGTTCGTACTCCACTAAGGAAACGAGGTTGGAATTCACTTCCAAATAGAATATTCATACCGATTTACTGAATTTTCCACGAGTGATGAAACCACCAATTCAGTATGGATTGCCAACTTGTAGTTAAGGGAGATATACCGATTAATTCATGATCATACGTCATCTAAGGTATATATTGGCACACTAAGTGTACTAACTGACTCTCTACAATAAAATACAATTTCGGCTATGGTAAGGTTGTACTGAAAAACACAAGTCGAAATCAATCTCTATAAAAACCAACTGTCAGGTGGAATTGTGCGAAAATCAGTAGCTGTTCATGAAACATGATAAATATTTGGAAGCCGTGAATGTTATGATTAAAGATTGATCATAATAGAGTGATTGGGGTAACGTAAATAGAGATGGTCCCATGTTGTACATCTTCCCATCCACTTAGATACCTCATATTCAGAACAAATGTCTTTTATACGTTTAGATTATTTTTTTGAATGGGATTCAAACTAGTCTTTTCAGAGATCTGTAGAATTATAAGTAGCAACGAATTACTCTACCTTTCTGTGTTTAAAAGTAGAGTATTATTAAAGCACATGAAGAGCTTTTTCTAGAGTCAGTGAAATTAACTCACAATCTTTTGATACTGAATCATGGGTTACAGATTCCCATTGTTCATTTTCTGATATAATTTGATTAATTTCATCACTACGAGCCAAACAGAAATCATTCACCTAAAATGTACACAGGTGAAAAGTGTAATCAACTCTTGTTCAGTATTTTGATACATTAAAACATATATGTACATATAATAGATTACCTACTCGTTTGTTTATCGTTAATTTCTACTGGTGATGACATCATTGAATCAAAGAAACAAAGTGAGATGTGGACATTTTAAAGAAAGTTGAAAATTATGCATATTAAGTATTTGTGCACTTAGTCTACGCTCTAAAAAGCAAACATAACACAGTACTTACGATATTCCCATACAATTGAAGAAACACAGTAGAATAATTATTAATAGAAACTTCATGACAATAGATGCTTAAGTAGTGATGATGAAATATCGTTCTTCGTCTTCGTTTTATTCAGATAGGAATAAATCTAGATAAGGGTCTAATGAAACATTCATAGATACCTTCTGGTAGTATACTTAACATAATAAAGTACTTATAATAACCAAACTACAAAACGGTTTGACTTTCCAAGAAAGTTAAAGAATGAACGAAACTGTCAATGTGATGAGCTTACAACTTAGTTTTATGTTTGCATTATGACCGATTGACAATTAATTTTATTGCATCAAAAAATAGCTGTAGTTATCATTGTGCCTCAAGACCTGACACGAAATCAATATCTTGATGAGATACCAGATTTCGATCGAACTACTTTGTTAGTTGTTTGCCGTACCGATTAACTTGTGGTATGTGAAATCAACTGCAATAAACGTACAAACAACTCTAATCATTTAAATATGAAAGTACTTTCATGCAAAATGTACATAACTGTGATATGCAAATCAATGAACCGAAGGACTTGCAATTTTTCAATGAAATAAGAATTATCAACACTAATGTATGTTCAATATGGGATTCTGGAGAATGTTGAATTTGATTGAAATCACGCCGGTTTAGTGGCCTAAAGGTCAAGCGTCAACGCGCGAGAGTGAAGACCTTTGGTTCGGTTTCCATAATCAGGGTTGTGGATGCTCACTTGCAAAAGTCCCATACTAGGACGAAGCGGCCGTCCAGTACTTTAGAGTTCTCAATAGTGATTTCAACCATGAAAATTGCTACAATCTCTGCAAAACCCCTATACTTATAATATCCTAATATTTACACAAGTTCGACCTACTTCCTGTACTGAAATACTGATTAAAACATTGATTATCTCATTTTTCTTATCAAAACTATTACACCTATCTTCTTATGAATCAATTTATACTTTTTACCTGTTATTTGTTATTATGCCATCTATTGAATCATGAGCATCGACTCACAAACTGCCTTAACTGGTTTAATATTTTCATGTATGTATATAAATAACCCTGCATGTTACAGTAAGTTCTGTTATGATTTCGCTTTTAACGACCCAGCCGCTCTTATTGTTTAGTATTCTTGCACACGAATTCACTCAATAAGTCACCAAATCAGGAGACAGTTGAACAGGAACGTAATTATATTCCAAATAAAAAGGCTGAATGAAAGTAGAAATCACAATAAAAAACATTGGTATATTTATAATTTTCATATAAGGTGATTCTAGAGTCTTCTCCAAGTATCTGTAGTACTGATTAGTTACGAAATAGCCAATCAGAGCGCCCCGACATAATGCTGCACGAAACGCTTTAGTCCAATCTATGTCCCGCTAACAGTCTGATCACGATTTAACTGAAAATATTAATGTTCGCTTATGTGCTGTTCTAGTTTTCACATTAGGGATCTCTAACATTGTCTGATTGACTTTGAACAGGAAACTTCCAATTTTGTTTCATTCCTAACAAAGAAGTGTCAAGTAACCATATTGTAGGTCTCAACAATGTTTTAATGATAACGGTAAGCAACCTCATACGTTAATGAGTCATATTCACTAACAGATCCCAGTATTTTCTAACACCGTTTCCACTATATCGTTTCACGATATCAACATACATAAAGGATTGTTTCATCGGTAAGGCTTTTCATTACTCTTCATTACAGATCGAATGGTTTGCATAACAGTCACAGGTTAACTCCACACACAGAATTATGTTAATCGATAGTTCAGTCACTGACAATATCTAATGCAAAGCAACTACTGTTGTTGTTATGCATAAATAATATAATTATCAAACACGAGAAAAAGAACTTACCAACTGCAGTTCTTCATTGCAAATTTTTTCGAATTCCGAATGCCAATGTAAACTTTTCTCAACATCTTTACGTATACTTAAAAATAATTTACAAGCTTCTTGTAAATTCGCTATCACACTATGCTGTCGATATTTGAGAATTTGATTAAAATACGGTTCACATTTAATTCGTAGTTGAGATAATAAATTTCGTTGTTCATCCAAATTTTGATTGACACATATTCGTGCAGCATCAACTTTATCACGAAATGTCTTAGATGTCACTTCGTTATGATTTATTTCACCTTGAGTACGATACCATTTTGTTAGAGTATGAACTAATAAGGAATATTGTGAAAAAGAATAATTTCAAATTTTATTGAGATAAATAAGAAGTTATTTGACTGAATGACTAAACAACGACAAACGTCCAGACCTCTGGTGCCCCAAACTATCTTATATCTCCAGTCGTGAATAGATGAGAAGACAAATCAACATTGAAATACCTCTTTGCTATTGATATAAATGATTATATGGTGGAAAATACATAGATCTATCGAATAGTTAATGGTGGGTATGAGAACCAGTTAAAACGACTAAATTTTTTTTCATAATGTCTGGAAATTCGAAAATTTGTTTCTTCAAAACATTTTCTGTCGAACATTCACTTAAAATAATAACTTCACTCGTAAAGGATAATAATGTAACGTTTTTATTAACAGTTTTCAGTTTTTCTTCAAATATGACTGAAGATATTCCATACGCTGAAACTAAGGGAGGAATTTATTTGACCGAAAGTGAGCAGTAAACCAGTGCTTGAAGTCACTAACTTCTAGTCTGAGCCATGTTGGTAGATGCAGACTACTTGGTTGGGGTACGCGTGACTATCGTAACCAATGGTTGAAGACTCTTGGTGACATGGCTCAGAATCGATCACAATGGCGTAGGTGTATACACTCTCTGTCTTCTCTTAAACTAAGAGGTTAAAATCGCTTCATATCTCTCTTTCTACGAACCAATTCTTTCTTCTTGTACTATATCCTTATTGCAATCTTTCTTTTATTTATTACCACCACTGAATTAACTACTTTTATGAATCCGATGTCCATCTTGTTGTGTTAATGAGGTATGGCAACTTGGCCCGATGCATATATGTGCCTGGTCCTACGTTGTAGCTGACTGACTGACTGAAATTGGTGTGAGACACGAACTTTAAATATCTAGTACACATCAGTCATATCTCTATCACTGACTAAGTTTGGAGCTCTTTACCTTCCGTATACTCTTTACCACCCAGTTATGATTGATAGGCACCAATTAATTTTATCTGTTCACTGGGATCAGTTACAAAGAATAGCTAGTATCAACCTCCGGTGAAGATGATCTTCAAACGAGGCACTTTCTAAACATAGTCCAATTAAATACAAGCTACGGTGAAAAATATTACAAAAATAATTGTTGTTCTTCAATAGCATGCAGAAAATCTTTATACACAATGAAAGTTTACTAACTGTAAATTAAAGGTTTTCATATTGAAATTCATTCTAACACCATGTATAAAATGCTGAATTAGTTAATTAATGGTGAAGGGTTATTGCTTTTGTAAACGATTGGAAATACCTCATATTGAACTCTAATTTAACCATGAGATTTCATTTTTAACAGCTTTCCAACAATTACTTACAAAACTTATGACAAAATTTATTCTAGATTGAGTTGAATCTTTAGTCTAAGAAGTTGCTAAAATTCACTGAAAATGCACCATTTCAAGTAAGTAAACGACTGTCGATTTGGATTGTTTACACGTTAAGTAAATGTGCAGTTCTTTCTACTTTATTGTGAATTAAATAAATGTAAACATTTACGATAATTAAAAATCATAAAATCAACATAAAACAATTGATAATTTACCAAAATTTGGCGGTAAACAAACTAAATCCCACATTTTTATTACATCATCACGTTGATGCTTATTCACAATAAGTTCATCCCATATACGAATTAAATCTTTGCGTAAATTTTCAATTTCTTCTATTACTTCAATTTCTTTAGGTTCAAAATTTGATTGAATATATACTAAAAGTTCATTGTTAGACATGTCCAATGTTTGAAAATTCATTTCATGTTGTTTAAATAATGCTATCACATCGTAATCTTTTTCAGAAACCTATAAACAAAGAAAATCTAAGAATAATAAACAGTAATGAGAAATAACGTACAATAGAAATATGATATAAAGAGTTATAATACAATTGAATGAAACCATATAAATAATTTATTTAAAGAATGAAATAGAAAACACTAGGAATTAACCATAGGTGATTTTATAAACTTAAAAATTCTATAAACAAAACGAATTTATTTATTCAGACAAAAACAATTCAATCAACTATGTTTTTGTGAAATACAAATAGATAAGAAGCAAAATAAAATATGAATTAGAAAAATCACTCTGTTAGATTATGTTGTATTTATCAGTTAAACAATGGTAGATATTATTCAACAAGAGAATGATAGGGATGTTTTCATTCTAGTTACCCTGTAATTATAAATTTACTAAAACTGATTTTCAGGATTTCTTTCCAATTGTACGGAAGAAAACGTTTTAAGCATATTATTGTTTTGTTAGGCGAAAAAAGACAATTAACAAACATATTATAGATAAGAATATATATGTATATGACGTACCAGTTGAACAGACAAGCGTATTTTGTCGACTTTTTCACGAAAACATGAATTCAGTTTCTCCGACGGTTCACGAGACAAAATATTGGTATAACCAGTTCTGAAAGCAATATCATTGCTTTCCTCCTTACGTAGCATTTCTTCTATCTGATGTAAAGAAAAGATTTCAAAATAAGTGTAAATGAAGCCCAGGAGTCCAAAGAAGATAACAAATATGTAAAAAAAAAATATCAATACAGTATGAACGAGGGAAGCAAAAATACTACTATTGGTAAAATATATAATTACAACGAGTCTGATAAACATCATAGTGATAGGAGGTGGTTAAAATATAAGATAACATTTTAGTCTATTTATAAGTGGAACTGAAATTTTCCCATTCCAGATTTTGGTGCATGCTGCTACATAGTATGTATAATCTTATTCGTGAATTTATTCAGGAGTCATACCGATCTGTATAAGTCGTCAAAAATTTTTCGAGTCGGCTACAAACGTATATATGAAGAACTGTATTTATACTGAATAACATTTGGTAGCAGTCAGAGGATAGTTGCCTGCTGATTTTCCTAATTTTCAGTGATACATTGTGGGGATCAATAATACTTGCTTAGGACTAGTTCACAATTCATACAAATCTGCTTTTCTTATCATGTCAATAAACTCAGTCATATCACATTTAAATACCATAAATAAGTTTACTTGCTAACGACATTTTTCTTACATCATAATTATACAACACAAATTATTCTTTAATGATTAATAATACCTGCTAGATGTATTTCTATAAATAATGGACTAAATAGTAAATGAATAAACTCATTTTCACTCGAAATCCAGAGACTCATAAACATGAACCTCACATAGACACTCAAAGAAATATTATGCACGGTCCACTGACATCCGCTGTCTACTAGAAGCGATCTAGTATTCTTTGTGAGAAATTTAAGATTTTTGTGACATAAGTGATGAAGTTATCTGTGATCTTCCTATGTCTTATACTTTTAACAACCAAGCTTTATGACCGTAAAGCAAAAGGGTAATAAAACTATTGCACAGTACGCCCCGTTCTGAATGAACGTTTGGAAATTTTGCTCAGTTAAACAATGCTATGCGTTCTGGTGAGTACTATGAATACATTCGGTATTCAAGCTGATATTTTGTCCACAAATGTACTAACAAGATTCATGCCACATCTTATAAAGGTGAAGAGACAGATATACTTATTTACCCTGTTGTTCATTAGTAATACAGACGACAATAGAGACTGGTTTAAGCACATAATCACGCTCCCCGACACTCAAGCTCTGAATCACAATAACTAAACTGATTCTTTACATATTCATGATTCTAGATCCTACATTTTTAGCTACAAAACACCTTGGTATTTGGTATTAAATAGGGTTGTTGAGTGCCTCACCTCGCTAAGACATACAAGCACGCAAGTGATTAATCATTTCGACTGGATTATTTCGTTATTTTAATACCTACATGAAAGAATACAATAATAGTGCTGCATGAAACCAATGAAATATGGTTACTTCCATGCAACTGGTTTTCTGGTAATTCATTCAGTAGGAGAATTCTTTAAGACAATATTTGCAGAACAATTTTATGACAGTTGTAATTTAGTCTAACCCTCTTAGAAAAATGTTTGACGGAGTTGGATGATGAGCAAATATCACATCGTAGTACATTCCTAACTATAAACCTGCATTTTTAGATTTTCACTACAGCGTACTAAGCTAAAATATAACAGTAGAATGACTCAATCTTATCTATTCAATAAACGACTTTTTAAGTACAATGAGACCAGAAAGAACAAACATCCCATTTATCATACTTCATGCGGATATCAATATTGAGTCAACCTGATTAACATATAAAATTATCACTTATATGTACAATTATATTGAGAACTTTAAAATTTGTAGTTGTATCTATTAATGTAAATAACTTTATAGTTCATCTCGCTAAAAGAAAATCAAATATTTAATTTGGATCAGTTATTATTATTTATTATTATTAGCTTTATTCAATATTAGATTTTTAGTACAATATAGAACTCTGAGCACAAAGTATTTCAACAAGTTTCCGTTTCTTACTTCTTAGTCGATCCTGACGATAAATATAGAGTGATCGTTAGTTAAAAGTTAGCAGTCCAGTCAATAGACATCTAAATAATGAAAATTCTTTTCGCTGCACATTGCCAGAAACCACGATATCGCTAATTGGCCTTTTGAAACTTGTACAACGAAAGGTTGTACACTTTTCAGAAACACATCTGAATAGGTTATATGATTAATAGCCATAATGATGTATTAAAACAAACAAAATTAGATAACTTGTTGAAATATCTAGATGGCTGGGATAGGTAGCCCAGATGTTCAAGCAGGCCGCGACATCATATCGATCCACTTATTGATTACATGCGCATTATGATCACAGTTCCATTACTTGCAATAAAATTTTACATGAAATTTTTCGAACTGTAATAAAGACGTTTATAGCACCTAAGTGAAGTTTCCCGATGAAGTAACATCACATTTACTCTAAAACAACAGACTCAACATCGAAAAAAGCGATATTCGATGTTTGAATGCAATTAACAAGAACAGAAAGTGTTGATACTCAACAACATCAATTCCACAGACAAAAACTATTACAATAAAGTTTTTATTTTTAAAATGGATAAAATCAATACCTCTCCAAGAGTTTTGAATCGTTCTCCAGCTAATGGCTTCAGTGAATGAACTTTACGTCTCAAACTATCTACTCCACCAGATTGATGAACCTTGACAGATTCTTTTAATAATGCTTCACAAATCAGTTGAAATACACTGAGTTCCAATGAACGTGGAAAATTGTGTTGATTCATTTCACTGAAGAAATCAATAATAATAATAATAATAATAATAATAATAACAAAGAAAAATGTGCTTGAATTTTTCTTCTTAAATTGAAGTTACATCAAAATGATGAATAAAGTGAAGCTAATTAAGCTTAATAAATCGATAGTTTGACATGGTTTCACAATACTACTGAATAAATGCATTAAAATACATGAATACAATGTGGAAAAGATTGTTCAAAGCAAAAATTGATAAATATTAATTTCATAAAAATGTTACAAAACAAAATATTTTTTGAGGGTCAATTAGAAAAAACAAACAAGAAAACTGTTTTTCATAAAAGCTATTATCAAACCTAGGCTGACTGTTGGTTCGAGGATAAGAGGATAAAAATTAAAACAACAAATATTGATTTGGCATAATTTTAAATTTCCAGTGCTACTTATTCACTTGTTATTTATAGAAAGTTACTTAGTAAAACAAACATTTATTTTTGTCAAATGGCTCACAATGAAAAGAACAAAAATTATATTGTATGGTTCAGTAATTTTAGTATTGGAGGCTTGATATATCAGCGTTATAAAAAGATAAATCAATAAGTAACATCCATGTAGCAGACAACATAGTTAAATCACAGTAACGCTTGACAGGTAACCGTAAAACAGAGTTTGGTACCGTACTATACATTATTCATTTTGTCTTTACTGTTTACAACCGATGATAATTAGGTTAAACTGTATGATTCTGCTGAGATATGACGAGAACAACACTACATTTTACTCGTTGCATATGGCTTCAAAAATCTATCTAATGGAGTTACAGAGTGAATGTCAGGATGATGTTTGTAATAAACAAAATAGTTATACCGCCTAAGTAGGTGAAAATATTGTTCGTTATTTACCAAGTAAATATTTATTTTCTTGTCTTCAAGTCACAGTTTTTGTGAGGGCTGACGATACTAGCCGACATTCCATGAGAAGCAACTGAAGCTGCCTCGAACCTGGGACCAATGGATTGAGATATGTGTCATAGTCACCAACATATTTAGAAAATCTCAAAGTGCATATAGCTTCCTACTCTTGCAGCGTAACAGTTTCAAGGCAACTGGAAAAGTGGTTTGCTTAAACTTTCATATGTTTATTGGTATTTGAAACGAAGAGAATGACTGTGTTAGTGTTAAAAAATAAATGCAAAATTTTGAGAAACCATCTAACAGTACAACATACAAGAAATTAGTATGGGGTATTTTTTCACGGTAAGCGACTTCCTGTTACGGAAGAAGAGCTGGAAGAATAAATTCGTCTATCGACTCGAAATCGAATTGAGGTTCCTTGAAATACCCGAGTTTCTTATTTAACCATGTATCCTGTTCATTAAGCCTTGTACCAGCATTTGTTTTAGAAATGCAAAGATTCAAAGGAGCATAATCAGGTGCGACCATGATGGTAAATTGACAAAATGTAGTGGCAATTGTATATTTCGTACTTCATTAGTTAGACATTTGCAAAGAAATCATTAGTAGAACATAGAATATACATGGGAAGTTGTTATCAATTTTTTCTCAGGATAATCGTCAATCTGAAGCGGACTCCGTGTTTAACATGACTGTTAACGATAACACTGGTCTACTTTACTAAAAGGATTTATTATACCACTAGGTTCAACACATCTTATCATACATAAAATAATAAGACCACTGTCAATATAAACATACTGATTACTCGAAAAGTGGTAAATTAGAATAATTGTCTACCTTTCAAGAACCGTATCAGCATTTTTCAATTTAGCAAATTCTGAATTGATGATTGCAGTCCGAGTATCATTTGCTATAATAAGAGCTTCAAGGACGGGAAACGGGACCAACATGTCAAAAATATCGCCTGAATCACAAGGAAGTAAGGGTATTTGAAACATTTCTTTTGTTATAATATAGTTTGCTAAGACAGAAGCAGGTTGAGATTCACCAAGTATTTCACTCTCGTTAACAGTTTGAAACGTTTCAGACCAACGACGAGATGAAAGACTACGTGTGAATTTAGAGACTAGGAGTGTGCTAGATTCCTGTTGAGCAGAAATAAATGTAAATGTAAAATTTTTAAAAAGCTTTAACGATAGCTATTTTGAAATCAGATTATACACTAGGCAGGCCCAGTGAATAAAGACATCCATACTAAGTGTAAAATCGATATGATATTCGACAAAGTACAGTGCAACACTTGAACAAAGCTTCGGTGCTAACAAGTCTTCAAGGTAAATAATCGATACTTGATACTGAATTACTTATTTAATGTATTCAGCAAACTGATATTTAACGATACGTTTACCATATCTGAACCAATTCATAACAAAAAGAAACTGATTGTGGATGAGTCGCGAGAGGCAAATCGATTGGCGAGATAGTAAATCTTCACTAACTAGGGTAGTTAGGATATAGGTTACATATGATCAACCACAGCCTGCCTCCACTGGCGAAGTATGGTGTGGGAGTAGGCCAGAAGGAAGTTAGGGGTATCCGAACAAAAAATGGCACCAGTCTATGGAGTTATTGACAAGTGGACTGAGCCATGTTATAGTATGTATAGACTACTAGACTGAGATCCGCGTGATTATCGTAGACTTTGAATGACGTGGCTCAAAATCGTTTGCAATTATGCAGTTACATCCATTATTGGTCTTCCCCCAGATTCCAAGCTTCTGAAGTCCTTATAATTTTTTTTATTTCGCTAGTTTATATTTTTTTCCAGAATTGTATTTTGGGTGCTTAATCTTTTTTATCATCAAATACTACTACTACCTTTACTGCCACGGGAAGGAACAATATGTACGAAATCAAATTATAATTAAAACTTTAGAGGATGATAAAGATTTAATACATTAGCACTACTTCTAAGTATTTCATTCAAAGTCTCTAACCATGGATTACGATGATTTTACAAATCCAAAGCAAGAAGTTTACACCTCCCGACATGATTCAAGTCAACGGATACTGACTGAACGGACTAATAATCTGTTTTAGTTTGATGGCCCCTGTATTTCTTTTGACCTACTTAAACTCCAGTTAAGATTCGTGTCTATATGGAGGGAGGCTAGGAATGGGTAAAGTATGTTCTAATCACCTCGGTCAATGAACATTCACAGCCTCATCAAACTATTTGTCATCCTGATCTTGTACTCTAAGCCTAGCTTTAACACTACTAAGTCAGTGTCTCCAATCCAACACTCGCAAGGCATCAACGACCGAACACTAATAACTTATGCATGTTCCCATCCTTTGAAGACCACGTTCTAGAGGGATAAATAAACAGAAAGATGACTATGAAGTTTTTGAACAGAAAAAAATCACTAATTTCCGTCTGAACACTAGAGCCCAAGTAGTGTTTTAAGGTAATACATTCTTGAAGCGGAAACAACTTTAAATAATAATTTATTTTTATTTACAAACTTTAAAAACAAACAATTTCATGCTAAATTTTTAAAAATCAATACTAACAGCAAAAAATAAAAGTTTGTAATTATCTATGACTTCAAAATAAACAAGAATACTAATATTAAAAACTTCAGAAACTTGCTGCTTCATTTTTTAACAACACAATTCATCGAAATTACTACCTTGGTGTCCTTTTTACGCCTTAGCTTCTCTTCGCCCAAATAAGTGTTAGCCAAAATGCTGTAATAATTCTGTTTAGTTTTAATAACACGATACCAGTCCTAAATAAATAATAATAGTGTGAAAAATGAATAAACGTACCTCTGGTACAGATTTAATGATATCTTCATCTTGAAGACAACTGGAAATCATGGAAAATGAATCCAAACACTTCTTATATAATTTATTGATATGGTTGACAATACGTCGATATTCAGGTTCATCTTAAGTGGAGTTCAAAAGAAATAATAAGAGATCAGTGAATAGTTTGCTTTCTTAAACATATACTACTTTTACAGATATTAGGACGCGTTTTGTATAAAAAAATACTAGTTATGATGAAAGAATAGGCTTGAAAACTATGAAACATTGAGAACTAATCTATTCTAAATGTCGTATTCGATACTGTCTCCCGTCAGTCTAATGTGAAAGCTATAGAAAGCATGAATGCAGTTCGGGAGCATTTATCTTCCCTAGAGGGACATATTGTCGAAACACAATCGAGTGACATTTCTTTAGAAATGTATTCACTTATAATCATAGTACAATTAAAGAAAAGACAATCTCCAACTTCTCGATTAGTTTACATTAAGCTGAAGAAGGATCATCATGTTAGAACAATTACAGACCGAAATTTTAATTGAGTGTACCCCTTTTTGAAATCAGTTATAACAATACTATAACACTAGGTCCATGAAAATGGAAAGAAAAGAGTAGTAAATGAATTAAGAGAGTTCAGAAAACGAGAAATATGATAGTAGATAGGATGAATTAGTGTTCCTGCAGGTGTACAGGAGACTAATATTTAAGGATGCCTATATCAAAGAAAATCATGTTATAAGTAAACATTAAAATGAAACTCAATGAATATTACAGACTAAGAGACCTAAGAGAGTGGATACATAACTTGAATATTCCTAATAATGTTGGATCGAACAATGAGCCGTCATTTTAATTAGCGACTTTAATCAAGAATGATCCCAACTGTTGATTCCCACCCAACTTTTCCGTATATATGCTTTTATGGATAATTAATTATTATGCACGATGATACAGAAAAGTACTAAATGACAAATAATTATTTATGAAGTTTTATTTGACGTAGATATTTAGTTCTTATAATCAGTCAGTGGTCTTGAGTGTTGTTAGAGGTATGAGGGCAGTTATCACTTCTCAGCTGCCTACACCGTCAAATGGTTCTTCTGAAAAGACCTGAAAATGAAATTGCGTTATAGTTGGCCTCAGTGACCTGAGAGTGTGAACGCAGTGCCAAACAGATAACGCATTAAGGCCAGTCACACACGACCTTTTTGTGGGTCATTTTCGTGCTGGCTCCGTACTTGTTGAGACCTTACCGCCGAAGATGGATATCCGTGGGATAAGGCGAGGTGTGCATTTTTAGAGTCGACCTTTTATAACCTCACCCTTCCTTGTGGGGAGACAGTATCGTCTTTATGCTGGTTGTCTGAAGGAAATACTTTACTGCCGTTACACTTCTGTACAGTCAGCAATACGGCTTCGCCCTCTGACCTTGGGTTCTCCATTTTTAGTTTTAACGTTCTTCAACCGATCTGTCTGGCATGGTAGTACCTTGAGCAACGATTTTTCCAGCCAGCATAGCCCGATTGGTTCACTAGAATAGGCAAGCCCGACCACCACGTTAGTGTGGCAGAAACTGTCAGGAGTTCTTTTAATAATTTTGAAAACTACAGGAATAAATAGTACAAATCATTTGTCGAGTGCACAATTATTTACTCGGCTTCGAGCTACATACTGTGTAACGGCTAGTGATGACAACCAGTTACCCGAGTCATGACGCAGGACGGATTTGAGCCTGGGAAGTAATGGTTGAACTTTAAATCATTTAACCACTGAAATATCACACATCAGAATAATGGCACAAAGCATGTTCATTTTGTCACAAACGTAAATGGAATGATATTTTAACTCACGATTTATTCGGTATTATGAACAGTTCCCCTAAGTTATGCAAAATTGTTAATTTATATTATGCAAACCACTACTAGCCAACTGCTTTCAAAATTTGTTAGCAGCGATGTGAAATTTGCGATGGATTTAAACTAGATATGTCAATAAAAACCTATATATTCCGAAATCATTGACGGTCAGGCTCTGACGTACAAAAAATAATGTGTCACTGATTGAAAATAATTAGTGATTCAACCTAGAAGTGATTGCTAAGTTGAAACTGTGATCACTATTTGCTCACAATAGTTCTAATAGAAAATTCGACGTTAAGTGACGAAAAATGAACGACTGAATGACTACACAAGGTAAGCAAACAGATAATCTACGAGGTTAGCTACTCTTTGTCGAATGAATGTTTTTGTAGCGCGATTAGGTCGGAAATTCCACACTACTAAGTTTATTTGTCGGGTTTACGGTGACATTTTCATACGACTTATTTATAGAAACTGTGTTAAATTTAGGAACGTAGGACAAAATGAGCGCCGTTAAAATTAAGACACCACCTGAAAATATTGTAGTCATATTATTACGAGACGGAAAAAAATAAGATACATTTTGTTTATCATACTGATTTTAGACATACTATCCGATTGCAAGATTTTCCTACAAAAGTTCTCAGGAAATCTTTAAATTTTTTTGCAAAAAGAAACATGAGCAAACTGATTACCGTTTCGAAGTCGAAGAAAGTTGCATTCATTCGCTTGTGCAATCATAACATCGCTGAATACAGACAGTACCTCTTGAGTCATATCATTAGAGGATTGCTCCGTATGTGATGCAAGGTAATCGAATGCCTCAGCTGCTACCTAGAAATGTAGTTTATATTTTCTAAATGTACTAATATAAACGAAATGACAGAATGAAATGCTTGTGAAAAAAATGAAGTTAGATTAATTCACATTCATTGATGAAAAAGCTCAGTGTTCCGGTTGGCACAAAACAACAAAAACAAAAATCGAAATTTAAGAGCTAGGAAAAAAAGACCGGATACAAGGAAAACGATACCAATTTTCAATTATGTTGCTTGATACTGTAAACAGCTTTTTTAACATGTTACGTACTGAATGTAAAAACTTGAAATTTCCTAGCACATGAGGACTAGACCTCCTCTATCACCCTTTAACCTCCTAATTGACAAGTGAAAACATAATGTTTATGAGTTTGTAGGTATCACTACTAAGGTTTGATCTGATAATTTCGAATAAATTGAGCATTGGGTAGATTGTTATAAATAAATAATATATTTGTAATATCCCAATGAGTAGAAAAATTAGATTTTCTGACGTTTCGTGACTTAGTGTAAGCCACTTCTTCGGAGGACTTTTATTTATTCTCTGAAGAAGTGGCTTACACTAAGTCACGAAACGTCGGAAAACCTAATCCTGCCACTCGTCAATTGTTTTCCATTACAGTGAAAAAACCTAAACACAAAATATGAAATACTGCAACTAACTTTTTAGTAAAATATATCATCCCATACATAATAATATGGTAAAGCAAGTAGTCAAAATCTCCACAAAATCAGTTTAATGAGCGCTGTAAGGTTACACATACCTGTAGTCAGTTGTTTCAAAAGTAAACTAAACACAAACCATAAAACAAAGTCACTCATACGAAACACTTCTTGCTGCTCACTTCTTACTGATGGGAGTCATTACAGTATTTTTGTATGAATATCCACCATGCATAAGGACAACAGAATATGATGAGCGAATTATGTGTTTCCTGATATACGTGATTTTACGGAAGATGTTCTTTTAAAATGTTTGATAAACTTAATACATATTTCATTCGACTTCCTTGTGTATGTGTCAATGATTAGCACTAAAAGATACTCAGTAAAAATCTTAAATTTTGGATGAGCTATGTGCGCATAAACAAACAAGGATTAATTAAATGTATCTATTAAATTTCAACAACCTACCTTGTAGCTTGAAATAGCCTTCATTAACGAGTTTTCACAGTTTAAATTGTATGTTTTAGCCAAATTGGAATGAGCTGCAGCATAACAAAAGATTATATTCACGTGCTCGAAGTTAAAGGAGTAGTGTTCTAAAAGAAATGTTACAACAATTCAGAGAAGCGACAAATTTACTTGAATAATTTTTGTGCCATATATCACTCCAGCTCCAATGGATACCTAGATCTTCTGACGTATTAAGTCGTTTTTCTAAACTCCATAATACATTATGATATCTGTATGAATGATGAATAAAAACGAAGACGAATAGATGCATGTCAATACGACAATAAACGTTCTAATCATATCAGAGTTTACAGTTCAGAATGGGAATGTACGCAATAGTGACATATTAAACATGTTGATCAAAACGTAGAAACCACTGTTATACAAGCCAAATTACACAAAAAAGACGAGAACAAATTAACTGAAAACTCACAATGCAAGTGACTGGATTCGACTGCCTAGATCATCACTATGTCCAAAACAGGCATCGTGGCGAAACACACTGAGTTTTTTTAGGGATTCGGTACATTGCGTAGCAACAGCATCCCCAAACTTTCCAGTTATGAACTTTTTTAGTGGTGTTATCACGTCAACTTCAGTAGACAATTTTAGCGGAACACTCAAAAATGTCATCGTTGAACAGGTGATCAACGACCTTGAAGAAGGAAATCGACCTTTACAATACAAAACAGCAATGTTGAACACTGTCTTACTCAAAGAAAAGAATCATCAAATTCTTGAAGAAATAACTCATCAACAGTGCATATTTCTATTCTGAAAAATGTATGTATTAAAAACTAATAAACTGAGGATTAAGGTTCCAAATACTTTCCAACAATAGGAGCTTTGACCTAACGATCCTACATGTATATTTAAAACAGATTGTCTCTGCGCCTAAGCTGATGTTGACGTATAAACAAGACGTGGACTTTTGAAGAGGGAGGTTTCAACTACCAGTGGAGTCGCTCTACTATGTCGCTGACTAATTGGTTACAAGTAGTCTTTCAGGATCGGATGATTCCGAGGAGCATGGTGTCGTTCAGTCCATGGTCTATCGTGTTGAATTTTGTGCAACCAGATTTCGAAATCCAGTGTTGAATGAAAGGGATCGTGACTATTTCAGTAGTAATGTCCTTGATAGGTGCTGCTTTTAGCCATGTTGTGAAACGATTAATACATCTTAGGAGAGAAGAACGTCTATTCGATTATTTTATTAACTCACAAGGTCAAGAGAGACACGACCAAAACTAGCTTAAGGAGTTTATCGCTCGCACCCTCACATATTTGTTCTTACGAAGACAGCAGGATTGTTTTGCAACGGGCTTGACGTTTGCTCAAACACTTGGATGAATAGTCTTGTGTGATGGATCGAGGGCTTTGAAAATATAATACTCATATGTGATTAGAAGTTCTATTTCAGTAGATGTATCAACAGTAAGGCTTCATTACCTGTTCTAAAGTACTTGGTTCAAAGTAGCTTGGTTGCGAATGATAACTCATCATGAAGGTGAATGTCAACTGTTAAAGATGTGCGTGATTAAAAAGACAGATTACTTGAAAAGAATTTCGAGGAATTCTGTAGGACTGGGTTTGCAGATACGCGGTTACGCCTAAAAACATGGTACGTGTCCGAGGTAAACTGCAAATTGTTGCCTAGTTCGAGAAACGTTCTAACAGCACACTTGCTCAGTGATAACCTTGTAGCAAAATTTTGAGATGAATGTTTGAGAAACATGCTGCCCAAAAGAACTCCCCTAATAAATGTTAATCATATCCGATGACACGTACCTATATATTTCTATCTACTTACGCCTGTTACCCCTAGTGGAGTAGAGTATGCCGCTCACCAGCATTCGCCACCTAACTGTCCTGGAAAGCCCTTTCTAGTTGCTATTCAACCTTTTTATGTCTACTTCTGATTCCCAACGCAATGTGTTCTTTGACCTTCCTCTCCTTCAATCCCCTCCAGGATCTCAAGTCAGCTCTTGCCTCATAATGTAGTTTGGTGATTTCCTCGATGTATGTCTTATCCAACCCTAACGCCTTTTTCTAATTTCCACTTCAGGTAGGAGCTGAGTTGTGATCCCGCCCCACAGTTGGCTTTAGCTGAAAGTATGCCGACCAATGAACACCGAGCATCTTGATAATTTAACTAAACACTTAAACCCAGTGTTTTACTGAGGTTTCGTACTGGCGTTCTCAGGAGATGATGACTAATCGATGCTTTATTTCTGTTAATCAGTTTACCTGCATATATCCTCCCCTTTGCTCAGAATATGATTTCTCTCACTCTAGATTATTGCAAGTATAAATTAATTTTTCTCTACTCACAATTTTATTACCTATTATGCAGTCTCCACAAATCTACTTTGATATCCATGTGCAGCAGGGCTGCAATTATACGCGACTCAATTTCGTAAACGTGCCCTTCAGCTAAGCAACCAATCAGAATGAGGCGGGAATTATTACATCCGCCATCTTTGTAACCAATGGAGGTCGGCTTTCTTCTTTCTGTGCACGAATATTATTGTTCAGTCTTAATGTGATTCAAATTCGTAGATATTGAAATATTTATTAAAGCATTCAGTACCAGTTTATTATCCTGACGAAATCAAAGAAAAATTTGTAATTAAAGTAAGAACAAACATTCTAGCAGAATAGCATGAATTCATTTTTATTTCGTTGGTTCTCGTCAGCTGCTTACAACCTGTGATATTTAAAATCATAATTAATGGGTTTAAATTACTTACATAAAAGAGTTTGATTGGAAGTTATATTAAAGACATATTCATATAGTATAGTAAGGGTGTTAGTAAATTTAATAGACTGAATATTGTAAACATATACCTTATGTGATGAAAGAACATTGTGACAACAGTTCAAACGGTTAGAAACAAATAAACCTTGATAGGAATAAAATGAGTAGAATTCAGTTGATAAAATAAGATAATTGGAATAAAACTCAATGGTGTAATAAATGCAAGAAAGAGTTTAAGGAAAAAGAAAAAACAAATTATTAAGATATAACGAAGGAATATTAATCACCAAGGCAAGGAAAGATTAATAACCATCTCCTTTTGAACACATAAATCAGGCTTTTAGCGCCTGATAGCAACTGTTTCAGCAAACTTCAGAAGACTGGAGTTTGGCTGCTTACTAATCACCTTGAATGATTGTAGGGTATCGACCTGATGTCCTGTATCAAGAAGATGTTTGGTGATTGCACTATTTAGAGTCTTTCTTTCTCTTGTTCTGAGGCTTTTTGGGACATGTTCAAAAAATCTGAGATATGCCCTCCTTTCTGTTCGGCCAATGTAGCTGCTTTGGTAGGTACACGTAAATTTATAAATACAATTGGCGGTAACATGAAAAGGATGCTTATCAACTTTTGATTGAGTTATTGAGCATGTTGTTTTATACAGAATTTGAAGTTTGGCCGCCGGATAAGTTCTGGCTAGCGCAGTATTCAGTCTCCTGTTGATTGTGTTTGCAACCTCGTCACCTTTGAAGTTAAGACTTATAGTTATTGGTTTTTTATTGACAGTAATTACTTCAGTTTTGTTTTCTTTACGCTTCTTATACTTGTCAATGAACTTTTGTAGGTAAAAGTTGTCTCGCAGGCATTTTTCCACTTTCATCGATCCTTCTTCGAGTTTGTCAGTGGTACATATCTTTTCTGCCCTATAAAATAGTGTTTTAACTAATGCCTTCTTGTAACTGAGTGGACAAAAGCTATTGAAATTCAGGTAAATGCCATTCCAAGTACTTTTTCGATAAATCGAACGTTGGACTATTCCGTTTCTCCTACGTTTTATAGCAACATCAAGAAAGTGGAACATGTCTCTTTTCAAAATGATAAAGGGAACTATGTGTATGAAATTTCTCAAAAATCGCCTATCCGAACAATTATTTAGGTCACTGAACCACTTTGTGACAGTACGCTGCAGAATATCAAGTGAAGTGACAAGAGTCCAGCTTTATGGAGGATGTCTCACGGCAGGCTGTTTCCCGCGCCTGTTTGTAAGATCTTTGCATCCTTGTAAACTTTCACCGTCGTTCAAAAACTTAAGACGCATCACTAATACTATAGAAGCAGAAGCCTTATCACTGGGACTAAAATTTCATATACCAAAAACAAATACTGACAGGATCGATACAGAAGCTCAATTCGAAAGTCTGTTTGACCAGTTTAAGGATTTGCAGCCAATGAATGAGGAAAAGAAAGGATGGTTCAAATCAAAGTTAGTTGATATTGCAAACCAATACTTCGTGTCATCGACACCAAAGTCTAATCTTCTATCCAGAGAACATCTGACAGCCCTAAGGAACATCAAACAAAATAATGAGGTGATGATTTTACGACCGGATAAAGGTTCAGGTGTCGTCCTGATGAATACAGCTGATTATGTCACTAAGATAAAGCAAATCCTTGACGATCAACTGAGATTCAAAATAGATAAATCTCAAAAAGAAAAACGAATCAAAGGCATGCTTAGAGAACTTCTAAAAAGGAAAATGATTGGTATTTCTTCTTATAATGATCTAAAACCACGTGGGTCACGTCTGCGTCATATATATGGTTTACCAAAAGTTCACAAGCACGACGTTCCCCTTAGACCTATACTATCAACGATAAACTCAGCGTATTACAAAGTTGCACGCTGGCTAGCAGAAAAACTAGAACCGGTTCGTCGAAGGTTAGCAACATATTCGTTAAAAGATACATTCCAGTTTGCTGATAGACTAAATCGTACGAATGTTGCCGATAAGTTCATGGTTTCTTTTGATGTAACATCCTTGTTCACCAATATACCACTTCTTGAAACTATTGATATAATTTCTCAGAATTATGATCTCCTACCTTTACCAGCCCCGGAAATCAAAAAACTACTATTAATGAGCACAACAGACGTTCAATTCCAGTTTAATAACACCATATATCGTCAGATCGACGGCGTAGCAATGGGAAGCCCACTAGGTCCAATTCTGGCAGATATTTTTATGGGGTATCTTGAAAACATGGTGCGTAAACAGACGATTAGCAAAACGACGGAATATTCCAGATATATTGATGACACGTTTATTGTCTGTAACAATAAACAGCATGCAATCCGCATGCTAAAACACTTCAACAACGCTCATTCTAACATACAATTTACTATGGAACACTAACAGAATGACATGTTCCACTTTCTTGATGTTGCTATAAAACGTAGGAGAAACGGAATAGTCCAACGTTCGATTTATCGAAAAAGTACTTGGAATGGCATTTACCTGAATTTCAATAGCTTTTGTCCACTCAGTTACAAGAAGGCATTAGTTAAAACACTATTTTATAGGGCAGAAAAGATATGTACCACTGACAAACTCGAAGAAGGATCGATGAAAGTGGAAAAATGCCTGCGAGACAACTTTTACCTACAAAAGTTCATTGACAAGTATAAGAAGCGTAAAGAAAACAAAACTGAAGTAATTACTGTCAATAAAAAACCAATAACTATAAGTCTTAACTTCAAAGGTGACGAGGTTGCAAACACAATCAACAGGAGACTGAATACTGCGCTAGCCAGAACTTATCCGGCGGCCAAACTTCAAATTCTGTATAAAACAACATGCTCAATAACTCAATCAAAAGTTGATAAGCATCCTTTTCATGTTACCGCCAATTGTATTTATAAATTTACGTG